TGTGGTAAGTTATTGAGTTTGTAAATGCATATTTCAGACCAACATATGCCTTAGGGAAAAATGATTCATCTGGTGGAGAACAGAGTGATGAAGAACAAGAAAAACCTCTCAATGATGCGTTTCAAAGAGAAACGTAAGCTTATGTTTGCTAGTCACTTTTCAAAGAGCTTTTTATTATTTTTTTTAAAATTTTCTTTTATCGAATTATGGAAGTGGATAGAAGCGCAGCGACTCATATTCTGCTATATTTGGAAGGAGCTCGAAAGATACTGGTCATAAGAACTGTAACTTTAGCAGTTAAATGAAATATATGTCTGTAATTAACTTAACTTATTCTCTTTTTGAAAATCTCCATCATCCTTTTTTTTTTTTTTTTTTTTTTTTTTTGAAAGCTTGAAAGAAACTCATCCATACGAATGCATGATTAATTTAAAATCTGCAGCATGGTGGTCTGCAAACTATTAGTTCTTAGTTCTTCAAGAGACCTAAACATGTTTCACTGAAGAAAGGGATTAATTTAGTCGTTTAGGAGACGCGCAGCAGATGTGACGAAAGAAGAAGTAGAAGCAGCATCGAGTTCAGATGATGATGAAGAGGCAGAAAAAAGAAGGACAAGAGCAAGATTACGACGAATGCAACTGGAAATGCAAGAAGCCCCTGTTGAGGAGGATGAACCTGACGAGGATGATGAGGTAAGTTATGATCCTTCTACTGATAATAAAGGTTCATTGTAAGTTACCAGTTCCTCGTTTTGATCTTTGCATGGTAATACACAGTCTCGCAGCAATAAATTTTTTCTCCTTATAATTTTTTAATTAAAAAAGGTGACTCTAGGAGGAATTTGAAAGACGACGAGCTTTACTGAGAGCACGGGCTTTGATCAAGGAAGAAGAGGAGCTCATAGGAAAACAGGAAGAAGCAGAAGAAGATGAAGATAGTGAAGAAGAATCAAGTGAAGAAGAAAGCGAGGAAAGCGAAGATGAAACAGTCCCCAGAATGAAACCTGTCTTCGTAGAAAAGTATATGTGCTTTCTCGTCGTTCTCATTTTTAACTTTTAATTGAAAATGTGATTTTCATATCACTATATTAAGGAGTAAACGAATAACAAAAATAGAAGAAGAGAAGGAGAAAGAACGTGCGAAGAGGCAACAAATTGAGGAGCAAGAAAGGAAGGAAAGGCGGAAGAAAGAGTCTGCAAAGGTAACACCACTATAAAATGTGTTGGCATTTCAGCTCTTTATTATTGCCTGATTTCTTTACCTTTCATCTTGCAAATCTTGCAAAAAATTGCTGAATAGTTCTGATTAGTTATATGATTAACAGAGTTAGTCTAAACTTCCTGTATTTTCTGGTAACACTGCTTTGTTTTGTTATTTCAACCGTTTGGTGAAAGACATAACATTCTTTTGAAAATGAATATATGCATATTGTGAAAGTACATGAGATAAGACCAAATAAATATGAAAGGTGAAAGTTGTTTCCAAAACTTCCGGAATTTATGTAAAATTTTTTAGTTATTGGAAGAGATTTTGCGACATGAAGCAGATATGGAAAAAAGAAAAAAGGAGGATAACATCGATTTGACATCAGTTGTAACTGATGATGAAAATGAAGAAATTGCATATGAAAGTTGGAAACTCCGTGAAATGAAGCGATTAAAAAGAAATAAAGAAGAGCGTGACGCGTAAGTAGTGATTTACTTGACAGTTATAATGAGCGAAAACTCTCAATAAAAGTTTTGCCAGTTCTCTAGGTTTATAGCTTTAAAAATGATTACTGTAAATGCATCAGTTGTAACTGATGATGAAAATCGGCTTATATTAGGCACTTGTAGAATGCTTACCATCATGATGCTTTTAGAGCTGACAGAAAAAAATCGAGGTAGTTGTCAGATTTTCGTTTTATTTCATGTTTGAATAGAGACGGAGAATATTTTTATGATGAATTTAGTTATTTGGTGAAAGTTGGTCGGTTAGGATTCTCTGTCTCTTATTATTTGCTGGAGTGTGCTTACTGCTAGGTTTTGTAGAATTGCAAGAGAAAAAGCAGAATTAGATCGAATACATGGCATGACAGAGGAAGAGCGCAAGCAGTATTTAAGAATGAATCCAAAAATTATTACGAACATGGTTAGCGATTTCTCTTTATGTAATTCTCTTTCATTGGAAATCTGTTCAGTTTTACGTAGCATTTGCATTTGTTCTTATAATTCCCTTCTTTTAAAAAGAGTTGTTTTATTTATTTTAAATGGCATATTAGTTTTTCTGTGCAAACATATTTTCCAAATATATCTTGTATCTTCTACTTATATCGGAAAACTAACTACACGAAGCGATCTGCTTTCAAATGGTTTATTACTTCTCTTTTCGAAATAACTTTTATTTCGATTTGGTTGAAAATTTTAGCAAAAGAAGGGCAAGTACAAATTCCTTCAAAAGTATTTTCATCGTGGAGCATTCTATTTGGATGTTGAAGATGATATATTCAAACGAGATTTTGCTGAAGCGACGCTTGATGACCAGTTTGATAAATCTGTGCTCCCGAAGGTTATGCAGGTAGAGATATACTTCATTTTGCAGTTAAATTGGGTCAGATTGTTCCACGAAAGGAATTTTTAATGAAAAACCAATTTCACTGATTTCGCGATCTTTCTGATGGTGCAGTACAAAATAAAATGAACAAAAAGGACTACTTATTGGTACCAGAATAGATATTTGCATGATGGAAGTACAGTAACAAGTTTAAAAAGTGTGCAGAATATTAAATGGTACTATAAAATTCGTGGAAATAAACTCACAAGGAACAAAGGACTGCTTTATTGGTACCATATAACTATGAAAGATGCTGTCGTTAAATATTTAGTTTAGATGTTTCCATGGTGGAAGTAAGGAAGAAGTTACAGAATTGTTAGATAAATCGAACTTTGGGGGATAAATAATTCAGTTCAAGAAATTATAAATGATTATTGTTAAGGTCAAAAACTTTGGAAAAGCTAGCCGTTCGAAATGGACACATTTGACAGCAGAGGATACAACTGATCATCAGGGTGCTTGGGCTGCTACGACGGCATTAAATAGTAAATTCCTTGTAAAACACGCCGGTGGTATGAAAAATAACTTTGAAAGGCCGGCTGCAAAGAAGCGGAAAACTGAAGTATAATCCACTTGTAATGAACTGCAGGATATATTCCATTGTTGTTCACTGGTTTATGAATTTAGATGCTTTTTTGTTTTATGACAGATATCACTCTCTACACTATTTCATTATGTTCATCAATATTACTGCAAAAAATGAAGACTCACATGTTTTCTGAATTCTTTATTGATTACCCTTAAAATGGTTGATTTATTCCAAATCATGTTGAAGAGGAAAGAGAGATAGTAAAAACAAATAATTATAGGTATCTTTTATGGCAATGTTACAAAGATGAACATTGCTTTTCTTTTTTTTTTTAAGAAAATTTTTGCTTTCTCCGTAGATGTATGTGTATGTAGTGAATGAACAACGACAATAAGTTATTTGTTTGCTGGCTTCTCATCTTTATGCTCTGATAATAGAGTTACGAGGAAGTATCTTTGTTGTTATTTATTCAATTTGACAAGCACTGTTATTGTGAATAAACACATCTTTAACATTAGTTTCAGCATGTCCAGGTAAAAAAATTTTGAAATCATTAGATAAATATGTTTGAACTTATTGATGAAAAAAGAAATAAAGTAGGGGAAAGTAAGGAAAAACAAAAAGAGACAATAACAGATGAACAAAGAAATGATTAAAAGGTTAGTAATACTGTTAGTGTTATTTGCACTTTCTACAAAAAATTTAAACTGAGATTCTAGTTTCTGTTTAATGTTTTCAAAAGTAATATGTATATATACACAAGTGGTTCCAGTTCAGTACAGATTTTTATAATTGTTTCGTACTTCTGTCAGTTCTATCATCTCCATTTCGTTTTTTTAATTCCGTCAATATTGCCAAATCTATCAAATTAGTTTCACATGAAAAGTATCATTTGTTTTTACATCATTTCTTCCACATTTTGGTATTTTAACTTTGGAACTTTTGGAAAAAAAGTTTCTATACTTCGTTATAATTTCTTTCAACTAATTTCAATAATAATGTAGGCATAGCTCTTCGTTTGACTTTTATTGCAGTATATGTCTCTTGCGATTTAATGAATTTGTTACTTATTATACTTATTAATAATTATTTGTCATTAATTTTTTTTTTTTGATTTAAATTTAATGTACTTTTTTTTTGTATTGGAGAATACAGGTTGTCATTAACCTTGTTCTATGATCGAAGAAAGTTTTTTTTTTTTGTACATATACCGCATAAATGACGTGTTTATTTCCAGTTAGTGTCAACAAAACTAATTTTATAAGTATCAGTAAGCGTAACTCACGTGAGTACAGGTGAGAGTCCGGTTGGTCTTTTCCTGAAATAATGTTATTTTACATCAGATATTATCACTTCCAAATCCGTTTAGGTCATCTAAAAATTTGAGCTACTAGCAACTAAACTGGTAAATTATCAACACATCGTCCAGAAGCGAATTGTTTTTGTTTATTTTAATTCGCAACAAATAATACTATCCAAATAGATTTTTTTTTTGTTAACTTTTTTTATTTTGCTAAATATCAGCGAAATATCTATTCATTAATAAAATACTCTTAAAACAATTTAATTTATTTGGATTGGCTTTTAGTAAATGGAAGATTCAATTTTAAATAGAAGTGCTGCAAGATACGATTCGTTAATTCACAACGCTAGGTTAAAGGTCACACATGCATATGATGTTTGGTTACCCAACGAAAGTAGTTGAGCATGGGAGAAGGATGATTTATGTGTTTCTTATGATATTTGCTTCTTTTAATGCATACTGTGCTATGAACAATGTTTGTAATATATATATATATGTCATCGTTGTGTTATGTTTTAATTTCATCAAACTTTTGGAAATATTTCCGAGTTTCTATTACACATATGTGTTTCAGTTATGGGACGTATGAATGTAGCTGTGATTCGTTACATGGAACAAGAACATTTCCGTGTTCTTTTTGCGGTTTGTTTTTGGCTATACTAATTATGTAATTATATATAATTGTATATTATTTTTTAATTGTAACTATATGTTGTTTTGGTATTCGTTAGTTTTTTTTTTTTTTCAAAATTTTCATTGATTACAACAAATTATTGAAAGAATTAGTTTGATATGTTAATTTGTTTAATGATACATAGCAAATTTTTATAGTTGGAAATGGGAATGAGAAATCATGAATTGGTACCTTTGGAATTGATTGCATCAATTTCTAAAATACATCGCGGTGCTGTCTCATGTAGTCTTATTAATTTAGCAAAGCATGGCACTGTTGCACATGAACGTGGAAAACGCTGTAAGTTGACTGTAATATATGAGATAAAAGCAGAACTATTTATTTTGAATAGTGTTTTATTTCTCAATTTAAAATAATGAGATAATTTTAAGAATTCTGCCACACACAAATAATATTGTATCTTACTTGTTTGGAATTACAGCTATTATGTTGTGAGGAAATATGTAGGATTTTAGATGATGGTTATCGCTTAACGACACTTGGTTACGATATTCTTGCTCTGAAAGATCTCTGTTCTCGGGAAGTAGTTGGAGCAGTTGGCAATCAGATAGGCGTTGGCAAAGAGTCTGATGTTTTTGTTGGTGGCGATCCAAAACTTAATGTTAATTTTTTAAAGATTTGTTTTGAAGTCTTTTCGTCATAAGTTTTACTGGTGTCTCTTAGAGTCAGTAGTATAGTTTATTTTTTCATCTTACAGCAGCCTAAGTTAATTTTTTTATCAATTTTCCATATTATATGAATCGTGCTAGTCAGTTTCATTTATTTTTTTATTTTTCCTTCTTAAGGAATTTTTCAGGACTTAGTATTGAAATTCCATAGATTGGGAAGAATATCATTTCGAAAGTTAAAGGAAAAAAGAGATTATTGCAAAAAGCGAAAGTCATGTTCTTGGCTTTATCTTTCTAGTCTAGCTGCAGCAAAAGAGTTTGCTTTCCTGAAAGGTATTTATTCGCTTTTGTCTATTTAGCAGAAATTGAATTTTGTTTTGTTCTGAAGTAGTGTAATCATATTTTACCATTCGTTTTTTTTAAGATCAGTTATATACTTTCTTTATTTATTTCAGCATTACACGACCACAATTTCCCACTTCCAAGGCCAATCGATAGGTGTCGTCATGTGGTTGTTATGGATTTAATTAATGGTACAACGCTTTGCCATGTGCAAAAACTAAACGATGTATGGTTTCCCTTCTCTTTCCTCTGCAAAACTTTTACTGTGTTTAAGACTTAAAAAAGAAATTTCAGTTTAGCTAACAGATGAAATAGTAGTACAAATAAATGGTTGGAATCACGCTTATTTATTATATTTGTAATATTATCTAGTGAATAAAATGTGTAACATTTAGTATTTTGAATTCATTAATAACAAAAATATTAAATATCAAAAACAGTTTCATTATGCATCCATTTCGACCATATTGGAATACCAAAACTTCAAGAAACGATGTCTTTTTTTGACCTGATTCTATGTAAATTATCAGATATTCATATGTTATGATCAGTGTTAGCTATGGTTTCAGGTAGAGGGACTATATGAAAAATTGATGAATATTATCGTACGCTTAGCACGTTATGGACTTATACATGGTGATTTCAATGAATTCAATATTATGTTAACTGAAGTAAGAATTTCTGCTCTTTCCATTAATATTTTTGTGTATTTTTGAAAGTCTGATATTTGAAAGTAAAGGTAAACATCATCTACAGGAAGAGGAACCTGTATTAATCGACTTACCGCAAATGGTCAGTATGGATCATACAAATGCGCAATTCTATTTCGAAAGGGATGTAAACTGCGTTCGGACCTTTTTTAGAAGACGGTATATTTTTGTTCTTTAAAAGCTGGTTTAAGCCATTATATATTTTTTTCTTGTTTGTTTCCTAATCATGAAACGAATTTTAAGCATTCATATATATTTCAGATTTAATTATGAGAGCGAATTATATCCAAACTTCGATGCTATGACGAGGAAATATAATCTTGATGTGGAAGTGAGTGCTAGCGGGTTTACTTCTCGCATGTCAAAAGTTTATGAAAAGGTCCTCTTTCAATCATATTTAATCTTATTAAAAAATTCTTGCTATTAAAAATTCAATCATTTTAATTTTATTAAAAAAAAAACTCACTATTATGCAGTAGTGAGTTTTAATTCCGTTTTTTTTTTTTTTTTTTATACATTGGAGTTAAAGGTTTTCCACAATACTAAAATAATTGTAGGCTCTGGAAGAAGTGCAAGAGGATGATGATTCCTCAACTATCGGGGATGAAAATGATAGTAGCGAGGAGTCATCTGAACCTCACAGTGATATCGATGAATCGAATGAACAAATGCTCAATAATAGTTGTAATAATAGGTTGGTGAAAATGTATAATTGCATCAATTTTAAATGAATCATACTAAAACTAATATGGATACTTTACCCTTTTCTTACCAATGTGTGTTTCAACTTCCGACTTATCAATAGATCTGTATCCATGAAATCACTAAAGCAATTTTTGTTTTTGTTTTATATTTGTTTCCATTTCATGGTACTCTTCGATTTCTTTCGAGCTATATTTATGAATTGATTTAGATTTCTAATACTTCTTTGTACAGCTTTTTTTTAGGCTGTGCGATTGGTTGAAGAATGCTGTAGATGAGCTGGAAAAACTAGATGTTAACGAACGTCCATTGTTGGATGACTGCTCATATACCGTCAATGAAAAGAATCGTGGTTAGTGAAGCATATTTCAGATACCAAAAGAACATCATAGTACTTTAACTAATTCCAGAAGTAATTGCTGTTGATTGTACTGCAAGCTGTTCAAAGCCTGAAGATAATATGCTGCATGAAGAGGAGCAAGTCGTAGCGCCGCTTAAAAATAGAGTGACTACGAAGTCTGTTTTTAGCATGGGGTCAACAATAGCACCAGAGGTATTACTTTAATAGTAAAACGAGTGTGAATATGTAGTCGTTGATCTTTTGTATCACCATATTGATTTTTACAGTTATAGGAGTTCATTCGTCCATTGTTGGATGACTGTTCATATACCAAAATGACTTTATAGCTTATTGTCTATACTGATAGCCTAATATCCCAAATAAAATATTATGAAACATCTCGTATATATTAAAATTTAGAGTTGTGAAGTTGAAAAAAAAAAGTTGAAAAAATCAAATATTTTAGGTGGTCCGAAAGCGTGTTGCTGCAGAAATGAACGCAAAGAAAAAGACACGTTTGCGAGTGAAAGGGAAAGCTAACGCATTAGTTCGAGGAAGAAAAACCAACGCAAAGATTATTAAGGATTATTCTGGATGGGATTTCTGAAGGACTGTTCTAAATCATAATTACGAAATCTGTCGTTTGGAATGTATTGTTAAATTCTCAGATTGCTTTCAAGCATATACTTAAAGGGTTAACTGATCTCATAAAGTCAAATTTCATAATATAGAATATTTTCATTACTTAGCTTGACGAATTCAAATTCTAGGCTATTACAAATTTGAGGCCAATTATCACCTAATGAATGCTTGCTTTTGCAATTTTCACAGGAACGACTTCTCGGGCTTTGCTAATATTCCGTACTTCAACGGTTTGCTTATAAAAGTACATGTTATGCAATAAAATATGATATGAAAAATGCTTCTTTCAATATTGTTGGTATAAATGACCTTTTTTTACTTGTTTTATTGTGCAATTTATCGTGGATGAGTACTGAGTTAAATCGTGATGTTTTGATATCATTTCTGGGAATATACAGCGCAATTTTCTAGACTGTTCGCTAGGAAAGCCATGGAAAAAGGTTCAAAATCGTCAAGGATTTCAATTCCTGATAATACTGAGGTAACCTGATTCATGGAAATGATGTGCGCTTTATGTCTCTCTTTTCATTTTTCTTTCTTTGTCTTTTTTCTTCATTTTTCGGGTTTTTTGAAATTTTCAGTTCAAATTAGAGTCATTCGTACTTCCAAATTGTTACCGTGGTGACCTGAAATCAGTACTAATACCAAAAGGTCTTATTAGTGATCGAATCAAGTGTCTCGCACGAGAAATATTTCAAGTCACCGGTGACAAAGTAATGTTGCGTTGTTATTCGCTTCAGGTCTTTCTGTGCCTCCTTATTTCGAGAATATAGAAGAAATTGTTGATGAAAATTATTAGCAAGATCTGTATTCGAAAAACTTGTCTAAAGTTGTTTTATTTTCATATTTATGTGGTTTACAAGATTTCATTATTGCAGCCGCTGATAATACTTTGTATTCTGAAAGGTTCATTTCGGTTTTTTACGGAATTAGTTGAAGAACTAACTCATGTTCGAGTGTCCTGCAGACATCCGCTGGAGGTTGAATTCATTCGAGTTAAGGTTATCATTAGGCATCCTTCATTTCACAGTATCATAATGAAATGAGCTGATCCCATGTCGTTCGTTGCGGCATTGTAAATGTTGTTATTGGTTAGTAGTTAGTGGAAAATTTTCTGCTGTAAATGCTATGTCTTGAAGGGGATCAAAACATCGTCAACAGATAAGTAAGGGAGAAGAAATCTTCAGAAAGATGATTTGTCATCTAGAAGCAAAAGTTTTTCAAATTAATGACACTATGACATGTACTGTTATATTCATATGGATTTATGCATTCTTGTTTGGTTTTTCTAGTTTAGTCTGTTAGTTAACCTACTTAGCAGACGTTTAGTAATTGATTTGTGGCCTTACTTTTTGTTCAATCTAAAAAGTAAGTAAGACTGAATGCTATGGCCATTTTATGATAATCATGTTAGTCCTTAAAGAAGTTTTTACGCTGCGTTTGTTTAGAGTTATACGAATTCGGAACGTTCTGACACACTGCAAATAATTGGTCTTTTGAATGCAAAACAGCTTGAAAATAAGAATGTTGTGGTGAGAATTTATGTTTTATGTTTATCGCAACTTTGTTTTGAATCTTGTTTTAAATGGAAATTTGTTTCTTAAAATTGAATGGGTGAACATGTTTGTCGTCTCACTCATAATGCAGATTCCGTAAATCTGTCATCGTGGTAGATTGAGAAAATCGAGTTTAGGAATTGCGGAGTTCTTCCTGCCAACAAAAAGCTATGCTACTTAGTAGTAGTCTTATCTATATACTACAAAAATGTTTAAATAAAATATTGATACAGATCGTAGAAGACATCGTAGATAGTGGTGCAACGATGTCACAGCTTCTGAAAACACTAGAGGAAATGGGTATAAAGCAGAAATGGACCGCGATTTTGCTGTCTAAGAGATGCAAGAGAGAATTTGAGGTATCTGGCTTTATATTTTATATCGCAAAATTGGTAAGCGGTTTTAGTTGTAAAACGATAAAGCGGTGAGCAATGTGACGGGAATATTGATGTTCATGGCCTCATTACATTACATTTTATTACATCGGGTCTGCTATTTATTATTAATTGTATTTTCAGGTGCAAGAAGATTTCGTTGCTTTCGACATACCGGATGAATTCGTCGTGGGATTTGGATTAGACTATAACCAGAAGTTTCGAGATTTAGGTCATATATGTATAATGAGCGAATCTGGTATTGAAAGACATAGAGTGGCAGAGTAGACATTCGATGAGATATTTCGATATCATAAGTAATATTTTCAGATTTTTATTTCGTTTTACAGATAATTTATAGATATATGTACTTTTTTCTCGTTTAATACGCTCAGCGGAGACTACTGGCTAAGCATTGAGTCTAACCGTACTTTTTGACGTTAGCTCATGATTCCAACGAATTTAATTGCAAACGATAAAATTTTTAATATTATGTAGATATCATTGATCTTTCGATCCGTTTTCCTTGTTTTCTATAATGTTTTGTTATCCCTTCTTCTTAACCAGTTATTTGTTCTTTATCTTTGGCATTCTTTAAATTTATACAGTCATATGCTTATTATGCTGTACTAACTTTGTTTCTTTGTTTTACTTAATTTGGGATAAAAGTTTTATAAATTTTGTATTGGCTGTTGAAAAACAGTTTTAAGATAGGTAGTACGAAACCTTGCTAATGATTTTATTATGTGCAAACACTTGTGGAATCGGCATAATTATCAGAAATCCTCGGATGGGCTGCTTGGATCTGTGGATTCATAAATATTTAATGTGAAAGTAGTAAGCCTAAAAACAACGAAAAGTAAATAGTGATAAGTCGGATCTCTGGGTCTGCTGCAGTTGCAGAGCCGCGTCACTCAAATTTGCTTAATCATAATTCGATCATTATGTTGCAACAATTCTTTTTTCTTGAAAAAATGTTATGTTTTAAAAATATTCCTAATCACTAGACAACAGTATGGTTTTAAACTCTGAGTAAGGAAGTTGAGAACATGTCCCTGAAAAGAGAATATTCCATAACTTTCAGTAGCATTTTACTTAGATCAAGAGAATAAGAGGATTATGGAAATTGGTAAATGGGAATTAAGTACGTAAGAATCAATTTTATAATGCCGCGTAATGCTTTCCTTTATAACTAAAATCAACGAAATGTTTTTCGTTCTTTTTAGTAATGGCTTCGGTCTCTACATTAATGGAGGATATTAGCTTGGTTGGTGAGCAAATATTTGATCATACTTCTTTGATACGAAATCAGATTAACAAATTTCTGGACAATTTTGAACGAAATGAACGGCATAAAGAATTTGATGGTATTATTCGTGCTAGTCATTCGGTATGTACTGATATCTTTTCATATTTACTGGGAATCATCATTGTTTGCAAAAGTTACTGTTGCAAAATGGTAAATTCCGTTAAATCCCAGATATCTTTTAGGTCGGAAATTGGGCATTATTTAGGATTGTGCATTTCTTTTCTTACATATATTTTATTCTGTTATTGATTATTTAATCTAAGTCAATATTGAACGCATGTTTGGTTGTATTGCAGTTGGTGGAAGCGGCAGATGTACCTTTGGAAATGGTACTAGTAAAGAATGATTTGCGAAAGCTTAACGAACAAATTAAGAAAACAACTTGTGCATTGTCAGAACTCACAGTTCCGCCTTATCGTAAGGTAATAGTTCTTTTGCTTCTCAATTTCTTAACAGTGGTACGTTGAAAACATTTAGCTTAAAGCGATTTATCTCGTTTTCATCAGCAACGGGGTTATTTTGTATTTCTAATTTTTTTTAATGGCAACAGCATTGGTTGGAAATTACTTTGTTCTGTTAAACTTTATTGTGATAATTTACTGTAACCAAATTTTATAGGAACACGACGAATATTTAGAAGCAATACGTAAAAGTCAGAATGAACAAAAAGCAATAGTGGAATCAGCAATTGAACAGCAGCGACAAGCGTTGAAAGCGGGTGATAGTAATGCAGATGAAGTCCTTGTTTCCCCCAATATTTCCAGTACTACTGAAATTAACTTGGATTGAGATTTGTTGTTTGTAGATTTTATTACCTAATTCATTAATTCTCAATGTATATTTAATCGCTGTTGACAAATTTTCAAAAAAAAAAAAATTGACAAGATTTTTTCATGTGCTATAGCATATAAAGGAATTTTTTTTTCAAACAATTTTTCTGATGTGATTTGAAGCAAATTTAAAGTTTAGGGGTGGTCATTGATAACAAATTCTGATTATCTCAAGAATAGTAGACTCGAGTGTTGTTATGCGTAAGATTTTGTGACATACTTCTTTTTTTTCTATTTAATTAATGTTGTATATCTTTATACATTATGTATATTAATCACTCCTTTTATTTATTGACTAAACATTTTTTCATGTACGGTAGCATATGAAAAGAATTTAGTACTTGCTTTTTTAAAAAGAAAGAAATTGTGCCATTTTTAACATTGTCCCTAGTCTTTTCGATGATTTTCTCATTCTAATTTTTTATTTAAAAGCTTCTGTACCACATGTAGATTTTACGATTCGTAGTCCCTTGTTTCTCTTGTATACTGCAAATAGTATAAAAAGTTTTACCATGATTTTTTAGCTGCAAAACCGTCATTTAAACGGGATTTCTCAGTTTATATGCATGCTGTATTTTATTAATTTAGCATTTCAGTATTTACAATGTCTGCCGAGAACGGATAATGCTTACATTGCATATAAAGTTTAATTTGTTGTAGGGACAAGCAACATGGCCAAAAAACGTTCATCATTGAAGAAGAGTCGTTCTGATTCTGGGAGTGCTGCAATGAACACCAAGAAGTTTGTGAAACGTACACAGGGAACGAGGAACGGTCTGACGTTCAAGAAAGGCGAGCACAGCTTGAATCCAGGTAAGGTTTAGAGTTTCAAATAGAGATTCAAGCAATAGCAGTAAAGTTCTGAAAGTACTTAGTTAAAGAATAGTTAACACATAATACATTGTATTTTATTTCATTATTGAAGATCGTAAAGCGAAAGGAGATCATTTTCGCTCCAGAGCTACAATCAATCGGTTACGCATGTACAAAAATTTCAAACCTATCAGGTAAGTAATCCTGCATCAGAAATTTGCACAATGAGTTTTTTATGAGTAACTGCTTTAAATTTGAAAGTTTTTTTTTTTATTTTTTAAATCTCTTTGTAGAGATGCCAGAGGTAAAATTGTCAGAGCTGCACCCTATCAAGAAAAACTGCCTTCTGGAACAGTTGCCAGGGTTGAACCTCATCGAAAATGGTTTGGTAAGTATATTTTTCTTTTGCAGGACTTTTATATAACATGAAAGTTTAAACACCATTTAATTTATTGCAATTTAATGAAAAAAAATCTTAATGAAGCAAAAGTATTTACTGTTCAATTAGTGGTAAAGATTGCTACCAAAATTACAAAAAAGAGAATACATATGATTTATGGAGATAGAGTGAGCAGTTCAGGATTGCTATGGAGTGCAAATTTCAGTAGCCACAAATTAAAGGAATGTGGTAACGTTGCTGCTGAAGTGTTAATTTAGCGAAATTTTCAAAAAAAAAAAAAAAAAATCAGATTAATTTAGGAAATACTCGAGTGGTTGGACAAGAACAACTACAAAAATTCCAGGAGAATTTGGGAAAGGCATTGCAAGATCCATTCCAAGTGGTTATGCGGCAAACCAAGCTCCCTATTTCGTTGTTAACTGAAAAAGCAAAGGTAACTGTTATCTTTAATTCCTTATATTAAATTAATTGATGCACAGCTTTATCCATTGAGTCGAACTGCTTTCATACAGACGAAACCTATTGAAGCGATACAATTATTTAAATTTTCCTGAAGCAAAGTAATCATTTTCTGTGTTATTCATCGATTCAGATGATGCCAAGTTTAAGCTCTGAAATATTTTTAGCAACAGCGTGTTCACGTACTTGACACAGAGAGCTTCGAATACACTTTCGGCAAAAAAGCTCTTAGGAAGAAGCCAAAGGTCAAAGTGGAAAGTCTCGAGGTATACTATCTTACGATTGTTGCATAAGTAATCACTTGATTACTTATGAAAGCTTATGAAAGAGCCATAATTTTCATATTTGTAGACATTATGCGGCGAGGTTGTTCAACGAACCGAACAATACGATGAAGCAACTGACAGCAGTTTGATAAAAAATGCCATTCCTGAAGCAGTGGAGAATTCAAATCCATTATTTAAGGCCGGACAGAGCAATCGTGTTTGGGGAGAGCTATACAAGGTGTTTTATTTTTATGTCTTTTGTGTACCAGTTGCATAGTGTCGCTTTTATTTTCCAGTGGTAAAGATATGTGGAATTCTATTCTAATATGTGACTGTAATTTCTTCGAGCTTTTTTTTTTGTGAATTTCAGGTAATTGATTCATCAGATGTTGTTGTGGAAGTAGTTGATGGACGAGATCCAATGGGAACTCGATGTCTTCATATTGAACAGTTTTTACGAAAGGAAAAGCCCCATAAGCATTTAATTTTGGTCCTGAACAAGGTTGATTTGGTGCCAACTTGGATTACGGTATATTGTTTGCTTTTCAATTCCTTTTTTCTTTATTATATACAATTCTTTAAACTTTTATTTTGTCTGTTTCATCAGAGAGGATGCAACAACTGATTAGTATGCAATAAGAGAAGCATAATAAGAAAAAGAGTTGGACTTCATTGTTTTATAGTACTATTACTATAATTGGCCTAAATTTTTTGAAATATGCTGCAAACTTTTAAAGTGTATTTTTATTTCAGAAAAAGTGGCTGACACTATTATCACAAGAACTGCCAACAGTGGCTTTCCATGCTTCTATGCAGCATTCCTTTGGCAAAGGGACACTGATTAACCTATTAAGACAGTTCGCAAATCTTCATAAGGATCGTCAACAGGTAATTTACCTACTCTTCATTGGTATATATGTAGTTAGTAATGATGAAATCGCATTGTAGATAAGCGTTGGTTTCATTGGTTATCCAAATGTTGGCAAATCTTCAATGATCAATACACTGCGGTCTAAACGAGTATGTAAAACTGCTCCAATTGCAGGAGAAACTAAAGTAAGTTTTGTTTTGATTCTCTTATTTTGAGTTCTGTAGAATTGATCACTTATGGTAGCAGGATATTTTATATTTCTATGTACATTTTAAAAAAAAGCATTAAGGTTTGGCAATACGTTAGTTTGATGCGACGTATCTATATGATTGACTGTCCAGGTGTTGTCTATCCACAAGGAGATTCGGAGACTCAGATCATCTTGAAGGGAGTGGTTAGTCTAAATTTTTATCTATATCAATATTTTTAATCCCGGTATTGTTTTTTTTGTTTTATTTTTTGCCCGTTAATTTATAGTTATAAAGTAATATTTGCATATACTTAAATTATCATTTTAAAATAATTTTTTTTTTAATTACTTGTTTAAATTACATTTTAAGGCAATTATTTTTCTAAAATCTTTCGGAGAACGAATTCATTAGTTATGTCAGTTTAATTAACAAATGAAGTAAACGGTTGCCAAAACAATTTCTTTTTAATATGTCATGCACGTCAATAACATGAAATATGCAATTACACTGAAAACTTTTCCCGCTGATTGATTGTTTAGTTTTTATAAAATTACCTCAGTTTTGTAGGTACGTGTTGAAAATGTGAAAGATCCAATCAATCATGTCCAGGGAGTTTTGGATCGAGTAAGAGAACAATACCTGTTAAAGACGTATTCCATCGACCCATGGAATGATGTGTATGATTTCTTAACAAAAATTTGTGTTAAGACAGGTCGATTGTTAAAGGTAAATCGTTCCATTGCAATTATTCATGCATGAATTCTTTTCTAGATTTATTATTCTTAAAATGAAAATAAAATAAAATTAATGTATATCTTTGACATGAGTTGTTACATTTTTTTCTCAGTTTTTCCTATTAAAAACTGAGCATAAAAGCTGTTTTAGGGTGGTGAACCTGACTGGAACACAGCAGCAAAAATTGTGCTGAATGATTTTCAGCGAGGTCGTTTACCTTATTTTGTTCTTCCTCCAGGTTGTGAACTGCAAAATGCACAAGGACATTGTGAAGATAACGTAAAAGTTTGTTTAAAAAATTTCTATATAGTTTAAAATTGTAATTATATCTGCTGATGATGCATTAAAAAAACGAGTAACTACACATGTGATCTTATTTGATAGCATTTTAACATAATTTGCTGCCTGATATATGACGAGACCTGAAGCAGAATGTACAAACAAAAACATATTTTATTCTTTTGATACGATAGCTAAAAAGAAAATTTCCAGTGTGCAGAAGAAATAGCAACAAATGAATGCAACGATTCAAATGATATTGCAAATGAAGAAAGTGTGAGTAATTCTGAATTTACTTTAAAAGAATTGCTGATAATAATGATAATAGTGTTGTTATTATAGAATGCTGCTGATGATCACAATAACAGCGATGACGATGATGATAATGGTACTCTAACGGATTTAGGTTCAACGTGTAGTGGTCTTACTAACTTATCGGATTTAGACGATTTAGATTTTCAACTTCCGGAAGCTCCTGAAGGTACCATCGATGCTGGTGCAGAACCTATAGTGAATTTTGCATTTTTCGAAAAAAAAAATTTTTTTTGAATGCTCTTATTTAAATTTGAAAAAATTTTTGTATAACTTATTGTACAAGAGATGAATATATTACAGCAAATTAATCATTAAGGAAAAGAATGAACCAAAGTTAGAGAAACGACGTGCACGAGGAAAGAGAGCAGGAAAGAAGCTTTCGGAAAAGCGTAACAGATTGAAACATGGAAAGCCTTTCGACAAGGTAATCTTTTTTTAATCCAGATTTCTTTTCATAGTTGAAACTTCCATATTCTCAATCGTGCAACAGAGCAATGAGTAAAATCTTCATCAAAAAATTTATTTGATATTGAATGATCTTGCTGAACATAATGATTATGTGTTGTTGTTGTTGTCTTGTTTATAACTGGAATGAATATTTACTCATTCATGATTTGGAATATTGAAATCGTTAATTTATATTTGGTAAGAGCATAATTTGAATCATTAGCAAAAGATATAATAAATTACAGTGTAGTGGTATCGTTGAATTTGGCTTAAGTGAGAAGAAAAAAGGTAATAAAAATGGATGGAGAAGAAAATTGGAGAAACGTCGACGTGTCAAGCATCAGCAGTGACAAATATTAACTTTATCATTGTTGAGTAAGATTTATTTATCACCTTATCAATGTTAAATAGATTTGCATCATTTATGAAATTGGTTAAAGCTTGAAAAGAAGTAAACATTTAATAGCTTTTTTTCAGGTTTTATATCTTGGTGAATTTTCCGATAAGTAAACATGCTGATCTCCAGCTTTCGTTACACTTGTCAAATTATGTTGCTGAAATGTGTGTCATGTTGTAAAATAAATAAAATTACAATTATTTTAAAGAAAGCATTCTATCAATTTTGCAACTTGAAATATATCATTAACTCATACTCGATTACTTAGTACCAATGCATGCATGTTTATGACTTAGCTTTCGAATGAGTTGTCACTTTCAACACCAATATTTCAGTTAACCTTTTCATAGTATACCGGAACAATTTGACTTATTTATTTTGCCCAATTTTTTCTAATTTTTAATTTCTTGTTGCTCACTTCGTTAAATATTTTCTGCTTATCATTGAGTGTTAGTCATAGGTGTTATGAAGATGAAACTTAAATCTCATTATTTCTTCTCTTATTGTATATGAAGTTTGGGAAGATAAGAAATGTCTTATTAATCAGCTAATTCTGCATAACAATGTGCAAGAAGTTGTGTGTAGAAATTAGACATTTTATTCTCTCAATACTTAAATTTCAGCCATAAAGTTTTACTATTAACTGTTAAAGGCATCGTAGATAAAATGGAAAACAGATTTTTTTTTTTTCTTTTTTAACAATTATAAGAGTTTAGGATGAAAAAAAAAAAAAAAAAGAGGGAGAAGAAAATAAGAGGTAAAAATATTAATTGGTATACTTAGTAAATGCTAACTGCAATAATCTCCAAAATTTTCATTGCAGTTAGCCAGAAATAATTAGAAGATGGTCAAATTTGATAAAAATATTAACTTGTGCACTATGGGATGATGTATGAGAGAAATGAAAAAGAGAAAAGTGATAATGATTATCAATTTCAAAAAATGTTTGAAACAATATTTCCCCATAGAATATTTATCAAAGAGAAAAAAAAAAAGAGAAATTACATGAAGGAATTGTTAACCTGAAAACTACCCATTTTTATTCATCCCATCCTGACAAATAATTATCATATCAAAATTGAATTATATATACATTTAGATTAGTTTAAATTAATGTGCATCATTTCATTGACTGAAAAGATATAACAACATTGATGGAAGTATCAGTAGTAATGATAGAGTAATCCTTTCACGTACGCCATGTTTTGTTGCATCCTAAAAGAAAATTGTGATTTTACTCATTTCTCATTTAATCATTACTTTTTCTATCTTTTAATTTTTTAATTTCAATTTTTGAAAACCAATTGAATTTTTTGCTTGTGTGTATGGTTTTTTTTTTTTTTTTTTTCTAAAAAAATATTAACTGAATTAAAAAAAAAAAAAAGAGATTATCAATTGAATTAATTAATAATAGAGATATTTGCTAATAGAAATAAAAAAATATAATTAAAAAAAAAAAAAACAAAAACCTTTTGTTGTTCAGCTTTTACAATAGTATTAGTATCAATTTCATTATCATTATCATTATCATCATCATTTACAACTACTATAGTACGTTCTGTCATCTCTTGAGCAATGGTTGAAGTGCTTTGATGCTGTAACTTGTTGCTTTCTCTTTCATCATTTTCATCCTAATATTAATTTTCTTTTTTTTTTTTAACTGAATTGATTTAATTTAATTAATTTAAATAAAATTTAGGATAAATTTAATTTCTCACATTCTATATATACATATAATCATTACTTCAATGATAATTAAATTAAAATGCTCCCATTATTCTCCTTATTCAATTCATAATATTATAATCATCATCTATTAATTAATCAAACGAATTTTTTAAATTATCAAAATGTAAAAAATTTAACCGTTTTTTGAATTGTAACCATTGTTGATGACCATTTGACTGATTCATTCTCTTCCTCATTATTTGCTACAGTAGTTTCATCCTCTTCCATATTTTTTGTTTGTTCATCTGTTGAAATTGTTGTTGCTGATAATTTATCATCATCATCATTATCATCATGTTTATCATTATTTTCTATTTCTTCCTCCTCTTCTTGTTCCATAATTTCTGTCTGTAATTAAGAATTAACAAATTAAATTAAATTAAACAAATGAATAAAATTACAAATAAAGAGATGCTGTATTCTTATTAGAACATTTCCGCTTCAATTCTCATTTATTTATACTTATTTAATTAATAAGAATACAACAATTTTGATAATATATTTTAATCTTTACTGTTATTTCAGATTTTAGCGATGTAATATCAACATTTTCTGTAGTAAATGCTACATTGTCCAATGTTGTTGATTCCATTATATTATCAAATTCATTTTCAATTTTAGCAATCGTTGTTTCTTCATTTTCCATTTTCTAAATTCCACTCACATATTCATGAGCAACAGTTAGCATAATTTTTGATGCTATTTTTATCAGTTGAAATCATCTTAAATTATTTTTAGCTGTAACTGTAACAAAATGGCTGTGAAAAAAAAAAAAAATAAATGAATTTAAATTTAAGCTAAAAAATTTTCACATTTTTTCAATCTTTTTTTAAAATTTATTTTTTTTTTTCATTTCTACTAAAAAAAAAAAGAAAAAAGAAAATTGAATTTACCTCTTTTGCTGTATCATCATCATTTGATACATCAATAGTTTTAGTTGTAAATTGTTCATCAATTATTCGTGTTATAATAGCATCATTATTTGTACTAAGCATTTCAGGAGTTATTCTTTCTTCATCCTAAATTTACAGCTACTGTAACATTTACAATTACAACTAAATTTGAAAGTAAGAGTTATAAGATAATAGAAAAATCTAATTTAGCTTATAAAATGTTTCATCCTATTTTTTTTTTTTTTTTTTATAAAATGGAATTTTCACCATATTTTTTTCATTTTCCGATGTTTCTGATATTAATGTCTTGAATTCATCGTTTGTTTCATGCTCTCCAAATGTCTAAAAAAAAAAAAAATGAAAAAGTAAACTGATAAGAGAAACGAAGAATTAATTATGACTGATAAGATAATTGCTTAGGTCTTTTTCTTTTTTTTTTTTTTTTAAAGAAATGATAAAAAAGTTAATACCATGTTGTAATTGGTAGGATTAACAATATATGTACACTGCTGAGGAAGTGATTCTAAATATGTCTTTGTTAATTGTTGAGTACTTGATGATGAATTTAATGCATCATTTTGCAATTGTTGACTTGCTTCCAATACTTGTTTAAAGCCAATATCCTACAAAAATTCCTGTTCATTTAATGATAGTTAATTGAAAATTGATTTTATTAATTTTATAAAATAAATTAATTAATTGTATTGTACTATAGTTTCATCTCAGATTTATTATTGTAACAATGGATATTCTGAAGATTTGTTTATTTGTTTCTCTAAAAATAATTTGAAATGATAATTTTGCAGATGGATAATTTTATGAATTTTTCTAAAAGTACTATAATTCGATTAATTATTGAACAATTGCTAATTGCACCTTATTTTGATTTTCAGTGAAACAATTAAATATTACTTTCAACAATTTATATTAAATTCGCATATTATTAACTTAAATAATATATAATTTACCGTTGAATGCAAACTTAAACAATATATAATTTAATGTTCATCGTATTGAATTATACGAAATTACACTTTTAATTTATTGCATTTAATTTATTTTTTTCTTCAATTCAAATAGATCAAATTATGAACAAAATTAATTTTTAATTAATTTTTCATCTATTAATAAAATTTAGCATACTTTTAAGCTTAAGAAAACATTATAACTAATATTCTGGAAGAAAAGAAAACAAACAAACCCTAAATAAATAACCACTTCCAGCACATATTTTATTAGATTCCACGATGGAACATTTGATGGTACATTCAATCGTACTGTAAATATAAATAAAAGTTACAGTAACTCATTAATACCTTCTATTAATAAATACTAGAAAATGAATAAAGTTCATTTTAAAACATATAAAAAAGAAAAAATAAAATAATTCAATGAAAATTATTTTAAGCACAAATAAACAATTAGGTTTTAGTTAATTAATTATGTAAATATAATTTACTACTGAAATATACAAACCGACAAATTTGTGTAGTGCTATCAGTGATTGCAAATGGATTAACAGGTGCAAATGGTGATGAATCAAGTTGAATTGTAGCATCTAGAGGATGTCCACATTTGTTGGAACAATTGTTGACACTATCAATATCACCTTGATTTCCCATACATTCCTTTACCAATCGAAATTCTTTAATAGAAACTTTTTTTTTTTTTTTTTAAAAAAAAAATTAATTAAATTTTTATTATTCGAATGATTATTATATTATAGCAATAGTACTATAATAAATGATATGATAAGAAATTTACTGAATTAATTAAAATAATACTTTTTTAACTTACCTTCTAATTTATCCTTACATATATATCCACTAAGTGATGTGTTCTTTCTTAATTCTTCTTGTTCATCATTAGTACATGATTGAATACATTTTAATAATTGTTCACGAGTACTGCAATTAAATATTACTAAACATAGGTTTAGCATTTAATAACAATTTAATTTCTATTTCTTGAAGAAACAAAGAGAAAGAATAAGAGAGAGAGAGGAAGGAGGAAGAGAAGTAATCGACATTCAGTTACAGTATCACAAATATTTTTTGCATTAATTCAAATTCTTCCGTAATTCATTTTAGTTATATTTTCAAAGTATTTCTTCGATTGAAGGATGAAGGAACAAATGCACTAATTCTGTGAAATAAGTATTTAACTCTATGAAATAAGAGGTTAATTTATGGTCATCAAAAAAAAATTCTATAATTTCAAGTACCATTTGTTAGCAAACCAGGGACAAATGTTAAACTTTTAGAAGTGTACTTATCAGTAATGCTTAGGAAATAAGTATTTATAAGTTAATAAAATATTTTACAAGTGTAATTTTGAATAAAAGTACAATTTTATCGTAATCTGAATAAATTATTTGATGATTTATAAAGAATATTTTAAAAAGTTTATTGTAACGAATTCATAGTACTCACTAAAAATTATCGATGTATTGCTTTTTTTCTTTTAGCTAACATAATTTTCAAAATTGATAAAGATTGTTAAATTTGAATTTTGTTAGCAGAAATTATATAATATCTGGGAATGCTATAGTAAATTTAATTAAACTGCTTTTCACTGAAGTGCACAGGATTAAATTGATAAATAATTTTAATGCTTTAAATAAATAATAGAGAGATAAACGAATTAATTTTCAATGAAAAACATTGAAAGTGAATTTAAGCAGCTTTTAAATGATTAAACTTTTTCATGATTAAGACGAAGTACAATTTGAAAATGAAAGTCAAAAATAAATTCTCAGAAGGTAATATATAATTCATTCTACATTTTCTTTGTTGTTGTTTTTTTTTTTTTTTTTTTAATTTTTTAAAACTTTTTCTAAAACAATATAATTTATTTCGAGGAATTAAAATATTCCCAAGTATCTCTCAAGAATTAATTGTTTCTTTTCATTTGTTTAAATTTCAAATGTTTATCAGTGAAAACAAAATGTGCAAGCTAACAATTCAGTATAAACGATTAAAATACCGCTTATCATCTCTTATCATCTGATCCATGCTTTATCAGTGCAAACAAAACAGTCAAATATATTTGCATTCGTTAACGATCAAAAAAAAAAAAAGAAAAAAAATATTCAAAAGAAATAGGCAATCTAATGAAAATATTTCTCTTCAAACTATTTAAAAATTATGGAATGAGCATTAAATTTAAAAGTTAATAAATTAGACAAAAAAATTTAAAAGTTTGAAGTCTTTTTTCTTTTGCGTACAAATAAAATCATATGGTTATTTTACAATTTTAATTTAGGAGATGAAATTAAAACTTTTTATAAAGCATTTTTCTATCTGATACTATTGTTCGATTCATGTTTCTTAACATTAATTGCATTTATTCAAAACATTTTTGCACATGTAAATTATACAGTAGCATAGGATTTTAAAAAAAAAAAAAAAACAAAAGAAATATATTTGAAATGATAATTAACTATGAATGGAAGAATTTATCAAAATAAAGAAGCAAAAAAGAAAAGCTATGAAACACAGAAGTACTCACTTGCAGAATTCTTCGATGTGTAGCACAATTTTTCGGAAATTACGAAGATTATCAGCTGCAAAAATAAGTGATCCCTGTTTTAAGCAATCATTAAGACATGCACTGTTTGTCGTTGCAATTGGTTGTGATGGAATTTGAGTCGAAACAGACACTAAATTAAAGTTAATATTAAATTTAAAGAAAAAAAAAAACATGAAATGAATGAAATTAAATGACAACAAACAAGTATTTAGCGCAGCTCTCTTTTTTTTTTTTTTTTTGTTTTTTGTTTTTTGTTTTTTGCAAATTTAATTACAGATCACAAAGAGAAGCAAATCTACTAGTTACTATTAAAGTGTGTACATAAAGTATGATAGTTTTTAGAAAGTTTTTTATCTTTAGACTTATCAAATGATTTCAAGGAATGATAAGAATTGATAAAGATGTGATATACAAAAAGCTAATGCTCTAAGAAATTTTTATAAATATTCAGAATGGTTGATGAACGGTCGGTCCCTTCATAGGAAATACTTGTACTGTTTGTTGTTGATTCATTTATTCTCTCATTTCTCCGTCCGATGTCCTTCAACACAATGACTGTCATCAAATACTAGTGATTACAGCTGACTTCGTTCATCCCTACTAACATTTCAAATTTCAAATCGTTTCCTTTCATGCGTGCATTCAAAGTTCAGATATTTTTCTCAATCTATTTTTTCCTTCTTTCTTATTTATTTTTTTTTTTTTTTGTCTACTACATATCAGCAAGTATTATGTGACAGAGATTGAATGAAGAGATGAATGATGAAAGAAAATAAAATATTCATCGCATGTTATGATGAACAGGAAATAATTTTAATTATTGATAGAAAAATAACAGAAGAAATGAAAAGGACATTGAGGGTGACAATTTGATGAGATACGGTGTGAAGGAAAAATAAATTAGCTAAAATTTGATTTCATAAAGTGTAGAGGAAAAGAATAAACTATTCTTTATTTATCAAATGAAAAATTGATAATTGAAATTATTATCATTATTATTATTTTATTATTATTGATATATTATGAGTGTTAAATAAAATTTCTATTAAAACTAAATGAATTAAAGCAATAAAAGCTCTCATTTTAATAGCTAATGAAAATTTATTCAATATCATTCAGTTCAGTATATTATTGTAGAAAAGTGTGAACTTCTAATTGATTAATAATTCATAGAATACTTTTTAAAATATCTTAGAAAACAAATAAAACTTACCAATTATAGCTGAAACAAGCAACAGAAGGCACCAAATTTTCATTTTCTTTTTCCACGGAATACGTATAAATGATGATAATATCTTTTGATAGTTTGTTTTCCTTCTATTGTGGTTTTCTTGATATTACTATTCTGTCAATTATCTAAACAAGTCTTTAGTTAAAAATGTGAAAAAAATAAATGAGAAGGAGAGAGAGAGAAACAAAAAACAAAACAAAACAAAACAAAAAAAAAAAAAAAAAAACAAGGCAAAAAAATATATTAAATAATAAAATTTATACTTAGTATTGAGTATTTGTTTAATATAAAAGACTTATTGAAAAAATTTATAAATTTATTTTGTATTATTTAGCTGAACTTTTTTCACATTTTAATGATGGCAAAAACAATGAGACATTAGATAGGTTATTTGATTGCAACGAACGTCACAAATTGCCTGATACTATCAATCACCAATTATTTGTATGAATTATTTGATAGTAATATCACATTAATCAAATAAACCATAAGAGAAAATTTTGAAATCAGATTGAATTTCTGCCATAAGATGCTATCATACTGTAGTATTTCATACTGTACTCTACCGTAATACATCATTGTAATAGTTATGGTTTAATTTGTTTAGTTAGGATTAAAATTAAGCGATTAAATCGTTTGTTGAAATTTCTATGGAAATAATAATCACTGATGAATAAGTCATTCCATTAGGTTAAGACATTTCAAAGAGGCATAAAGTTCATAGGTCATCTAAACGGATAGTAGTGCTTAGTCTAAATGAGATGATATAAGCCGATAAAAATTTATTAAATTCAATTGAAATTCCATAAGGAAGGAACAAATGCATGCACTATTTAATTTGGTTCAATCGGATGGTTGAATGGTTCCGATCACTATGAAAACTACCTGTGCGGTAAGGTGTAATGGGCGTGGTACAGGTGTGCTTATTTGTTCATCAGTGTATATATGTGTGTATGTGTGTATGTATATGTATGTGTATGTATGTGAATTTGTGTATGTGTGTGTGTGTGTGTGTATGAAAATATATTCTGCTGGAAATACCTACTTTTTTTCCATTTAAAATTTCATAACTTCGATTTTTTTGTTAATTAAATTATTGTGAAATAATTTTTACTTGTTCTTCGTCCTTCTCTTTCTTTTCATTTCTGTTTTTTATTTAAGCTATCGAATCTCTTTTCTTCTCTCTTCTATATTCTCTTTTAAATCTTTTCTCTTTTTTTTTACAAAAAAAAAAAGACTTTTTATTTTTCAAAATATAAGGACATTTAAACAGAAATATATTTTTTTCACACTGATATCATCATTAAATCATCTATTCTATTTGATGGTAAAATAGCATTTCTTAATGAAAATGACTTGCGTTTTTTTTTTTTTTTTTTTTTTTAAATTTAACTTGACAACATTTTATCTTTATGAATAAGAGAGAAGGAAAGAGAGAGGGAGAGAGAGAGAGAAAGAAAGAGATAGAGAAATGATATATTTAGGAAATTAGCGATGACCCAAACATGGCTCAATTGTCATTTGTCTCCTGATAGCACTACAGAATTTGCTAAAAAATTTAACCCATAACATTTAGCGCATTTAGCGCATGTTTTATTCATACAACAATGATGTCCGTTAAATTCGGTAAGCGGTAAATGTATACTACAACAATTGACACTACACTACCAACAAATATTAGAAGATAATAAATGAAGGGAGTAATTAACATAGCATACTGTTTGTTAATTACTTTAACCTTAACCTGTTTCGCTTCTCTTTTATCAAAATCATTACAGAAGACTGGAAGAATAGATGTAAAGCTGTAAAAATGACTAAATTAATTTTCCTTTTACTTTTATTACCGTAAAGAAAATTTTTTTTTTGTAATAAAAATTGTCTAGAAATTAATGGTATGACCAAAATTAAAGTTAAATTTTTTTGTTAAAAAGATATTTAATAATTAAACAATAATAACGGAAGAAATCAACATTGATATCATTTTAATATTAACTACAACTAATTAACTGTTGTAGGATAAGTCTAGTTCTGCAACATTTGCGTTGATAAGATAAATAAAGTTAAATTAGAATTTTAAATTAATAAATACTACTGATATAAAATTTATGATATCACTTAACTTCTGTCTTCATTTTCTTCCTCTTTTATTTTTTTAAATAAGTAATCTCAAAGATTAATATTGTTTTATCATTTCCTGTCTAACATTATTAGTAATCTAAAGATGTATTATGAATAATAAATAATTTAATTTTAATTATAACATTTATAAGAGACTAAAATTTTTCTAAAAATTTAAACATTTCTTTTCTGAAAAAAAAATGAAATTTTTTTAAAAAAAAAAAAAAAAGAAAAAGGAAGTATATCCTGATAAGAAAAAGTGTAGACTGATTGATATTTATGAATATCATTCTATAAGTACAAACATTTGATTGAAATGGAAGTATGACATTCTCGATAATAAATCATTCGTATCGATAAAGAGCTCACATAGTGGGTGTAAAAAACAGGAAAAGAAAATGAAGTAATTTTGCTATGATATACAAGCATCTTCCACCAATTACATAACTACTTCTACTCTTCTTTTTGCTCCACCTTTCCATTTCTTTTTATTTCAAATTAAATTTATTTCCGTATTTTTCTACTCTTAATTTCAAATTTTTGGAATTTCTTTAAAAAAGAAAATTTTTTCTTTTTTTTTTTTAGTTGATATAATATATGAATAAACAAATTTCTTTTACAATAATCTATCATATAAAGTGCAATAAACTATAATCTGAATTATATATACTTCTGCACCATGAAATGAAATAATAAAAGTTTACTTTGTTTTGTCTATCATTGTGTCATTTCCAAATTTATATAAGTATGATTAAAAAAAAAAAAAAAAAAATTGAAATTAAAATGTTTTTCAAATTAAATTATGACAATTCTACCGTAATTTATCAATAGTTTTTCCTGTTTTTACCTGAAAATTCTTGTCAAGAATGGAAAAAAAAATAGTGTAAACTAGCAGCTTTATCGTTCTTTTTTTCTTAAATTAAAGTAAGACTGATGATTATGTAACAAAAACTAACAAGATATAACTTTGTGAACAAATAATTAAATTTTTACTTAATAATTAAAAAAATCAAATCAGTTAATCAATCGTACAAATTGAAAAAAACTAGCAGAAAAGAATATTTAAATAATGGTGATAAAACAGTGATATTGTCTCATTCCATGACGACAAGCAAATTATAAGTAAAGTTTAAATAAATGATGGCAGTCATACAAAATTATTAGTCTCTTTCCACCATAATTTTAGAAATTCATTTTGATAAAAAATTGAAATTTACATCAAATTAACATAAGAAAAATTAGAAAAGAGTGAAAATGCTATTGGAATCTGATCATTATAAGAATAAAAAAAATTTTTTTTTGGTTATAGTTTTATTAATTTTAATGATTTTAAGATTCTATCTATTAATTAATGTGAAAATTATGCTAACGATAATAATAAATGATAATACTGGCAGTAGCAACATTCTGTGACAACGGAAATGATAACACTGATAATGTTGATAATAGTTGATGTGATAATGCTACTGCAATAAGACTTTGTAAATGCTTAAATCGATCAAATCCAACCAATTAATTTAACTATTGTTTAAATTAATAATATTTCGAGATGGATAATAATAGTAATAAGAGCTCTCAACCAGTGAAGATAATGAAGATTGAATGATAAAAGAGAGTGCGTTGTTTCCTCGCAATTTTCGTCCTTTTTTCTTTTTTAGAAGAAAAAGATAAGAACTTAGAATTGTGACATAATTCGGTAACAAAGTTTAAAAGTCATTACTAATAAAATAAAATGAAAAGAAGAAAAAAATTTAACAAATGATTTGGTAGGTAATATTTACCTACAGCAAAGTATTTCAGTGGAATTAAAATAAATGATACGGTGTCAGAGCAAACACCTTCAATAATTTCACCTGTTTTTCCTTTTATTTCTATTAAATTTAAGTCGTAGCAATATTTTTGATTTTTTGATTTTAGCCTACCAATTAAATATTTGAATAATTTGTTATTTTTGCACCTTTCCCCCTTTTTTTTTTCTTTCCACCTTCTTTAGAAAATTTTGCTAATCATTTAAATTATTTTGCTTAACCTTTCTAAAATTATTGATATGTTTTTGTAATTCTTGTTGACCAATAATTTTTATTTAGACATATATTTCTTCTCATTTTTTTTAAAAAAAAATAATTATTGTATTGTTTATTAACAAATTTTTGTTTATCATAATTGCTGTTTGTTTATGATTTTATTGTTTCTTTTTTTTTTATTAGAATAAACAAAATTCACTTACTCATTTAATTATATTATATTTCTCAATAAAATTAATTACCTAAATTGTGTACATAGCCATTAATAGTTAGATGCTATTTATCATGATAACTAATTCATCTATCATTGGAAGTGATAAGATAGTTTAATACAAAATTAAGCACAAAAAATTGGCTGAAGGTAAATGAATGATAATTCATCTAACCACTGATTATTTAACATTTTAATTTAGAGAAAGAAATTAATTGTAATTTCAGATCAAATAATATTAATCCTACCACCTATCATTTATCAGTTAAATTTCACAATATACTAAATTATTCGATTAAACAAATAAGTTTTATTGATATATCTATCTAAAATAAAGCTAAAGCTTATCAACCTATATCTGGGAGTTCTTATCTCCTCCTAATACATGCATTTACTATAAAACAAAGCAGCTATTTAAAATGATAAATGTTAAAGAAGCGAAATATCTTCTGTCAAATTTTCTCATAACTTGTAGCTTTTATTTATAATTTTGAAAAACTTGGCAAAAACAACCTCTCTATGGGAAGTGAGAATGACGGGTAGGGTTGAAATGATAGAGGTATGGGGACGGGGAGGGGAAATAGAAGAGTGATAGCTTCCGAGAAATGCTATATTATTTATTTCTCCACTGTACCTCTGTAAAAACAGGTTCCGATAGAATGAACAAATTCTCATAAAAGCAGTCTGAAGTGCAAAATGCAAGAAAAGAATCAGAGATGAGCACGGGGGATGGGGGGGGGGGGGGGAGGACAGGGGACAGGGGACAGGAGAGGAGGGACAGGAATAAGAGAGAAATTGAAAATGTATGATGGCTTCGAGGTAACGCAATTTTTGGATTGTCACATCCTACATCAAATGCTACTAATAATACTTTCTTAATAATTAAATATTCGTGACAAATGATGAAATTCAAATGAGAAAAAAATTTTAAAAAAATGTCATTGATAGAGAAAAAAGAAAAAAATCAAAGAGGAAATTAGTTAAAGCATATAATTTTCTTTTTTTTTTTCTTCAAAATGATAACAATAGCAAGTTTTTCAACTAAATCAAATAGTAAATGAAATTTTCTGCTTTTCTTATGCAATGTTAGAGTTTAAACAAATCAAAGTTTCTTAAATTCAAAAGTTTTAATAAAATATTTTATGAAACATGTGATAGAATTAATTAAATTTAATAATTACCATGGTTTTCTTTTTTTTTTTTTTTATAAATGAATCAATTCTTTATTTATTACATTAAATTTTTCATAAAATTATATCAATTCAAAAAATTGAATTAATTAATCAAATTGACTAAATTGAATTAATTTAATGAACTATTTTTATAGTATGCCTGAATGCTTTATCAGGAAAATTTGAAAAATTTCAGGCAATAAAATTTCTAAAAAATTTCAAATTTACCAAGAAATCATCTAAAACTCATCAGAAACTTCTTGTAAAAAAAAAAAAAAAAGTTGGATGAAAAAACTAAAAATTTCAAATGTTTTTTAAAATATTCTTTTCAATTATTAAATTTAATGCATCTGAAAGAGTTCATTTAACACTTTCACTTTTCATCTAAGATCGCATTAGTAATTCTTGTAGGTAAAATATTTTTGAAATAAAAGGTTTGAAAAATGTTTGAGTGATAATGATCTCTTAGGTCATTTCCGCCTGTGCTTTTTTTTTTTTTATTAAATTGACATGAAAAGTTCAAAAAAAGTTTTGCTTTCCTTTTTTTTTTTTTTGTATGAAACGTTGCAAAATCAACTTTAAGCCAGTTTTCAAATAAATTCCAATATATTTACTCTAAAATTAGTTCTGCAAAAATAAATCATATTTTTCTCCATGAAAATAAAATTTTTTTTTTTTTTTTTGATTGTTAAACTTAGTTTTTAACTCTTTCACTGATTAATAATAAATCAAATTTATGTAAGCTATAATAGATTACAGGAAAAAAAAAGGATTGGATGATAATATTTTTTAGAAAAAAAAAAAAAAAAAAAAAAAAACTATAAATGAAATTAATTTTACTAAATCTTAAACTATTCCAAAACTGTCGAAATATCTTACAGAATTCATCATATATACAAGTGAAAAGTAAGGAGTTTCAACAAATATGAAATTAGTCACATAATAATAGTAATAAATAACTAATTAATTATTGTAATAACATAATAATAATAAATAGTTAGTAACAATAATAATATCATTCATTATTAGCATTATTTGTCAACTATTTCATAAATAAAAGCATCAAAAATAACAAATAATAATAATAATAATAATAATAATAGTAATAACAACAATAATAATATAACTAATTAATTATTGTAATAACATAATAATAATAAATAGTTAGTAACAATAATAATATCATTCATTATTAGCATTATTTGTCAACTATTTCATAAATAAAAGCATCAAAAATAACAAATAATAATAATAATAATAATAATAATAATAGTAATAACAACAATAATAATATAACTAATTAATTATTGTAATAACATAATAATAATAAATAGTTAGTAACAATAATAATATCATTCATTATTAGCATTATTTGTCAACTATTTCATAAATAAAAGCATCAAAAATAACAAATAATAATAATAATAATAATAGTAATAACAACAATAATAATAATATAACTAATTAATTATTGTAATAACATAATAATAATAAATAGTTAGTAACAATAATAATATCATTCATTATTAGCATTATTTGTCAACTATTTCATAAATAAAAGCATCAAAAATAACAAATAATAATAATAATAATAATAGTAATAACAACAATAATAATAATATAACTAATTAATTATTGTAATAACATAATAATAATAAATAGTTAGTAACAATAATAATATCATTCATTATTAGCATTATTTGTCAACTATTTCATAAATAAAAGCATCAAAAATAACAAATAATAATAATAATAATAATAGTAATAACAACAATAATAATAATATAACTAATTAATTATTGTAATAACATAATAATAATAAATAGTTAGTAACAATAATAATATCATTCATTATTAGCATTATTTGTCAACTATTTCATAAATAAAAGCATCAAAAATAGCAAATAATAATAATAATAATAATAATAATAATAATAATAATAATAATAATAATAATAATAATAATAATAATGATAATAATAGTAAATAATAATAGCAGGATGCTCATTTATGATAAAAATAAAATATATTTATTACATTGTTTTTTATTTGCTTTATTTTTTTTTTTTTCTTGTCTTTTCATGTTTTTCTCATTTATGAAACATTTAACAAATACTACTAACAACGAATGAAGTAAGAAGAGAAGACAAAATTATGACATACTGATAGGTAATATACTAATAAACTTCTTATCAGCACTATTTGATTTCTATTCTAATTTATTTCTGTTGTCTGTGAGAAAAAAACCGGTAATATTTGTAAGAAATAACCTGCACCAATCAACAATTAAATAATATATTATTGCTAATGAAAATCAGCAAATATTTCTTCTTCTTCTCCTTCACTCATTCATTCATTCATTAATGTGTAAAAATTGTTACCATAAGAAAATATCAATGCAAAAGAATTGTTTAAAATTTCCTTCAATAATTAATATATACTTTTGTTACTTTCAATAAGTGTATGATGAATGAAAAATTAAAATTAATGAAAAAAATATGTTTTATCTAAATTTTCAATTTTCATCGTTTTTCTTCTTTTTATTTTATTGATAGATAAAAAAAAAAAAATTATTTGTTTATATGTGTGCAATTTTTAAATACATTTGAATAATTTATTTGTCGGAATGAGAAAATGTCAACATTATCATCATTTATCATTGATAAGCTAGTATAAATTACACATAAGAATTAGATAAAAAAAAAAAAAAGAAAGAAAAAACAATAAATTATATGAAATTAGAAAGGAAGGCATTAGAAAGATGCCATCTTTTTTTTTTTTTTTTTTTTTTTTTACTGCTGCCATCCTGTTTAGTGGTACCAGAAAAATTGTTTAGCTTTCCTTTTATCCTGAAATTCATTTTAAAATAAGCCCTATTTCATGATACAATTGTCCCTTAATTGACAACTAATTCTTTTTTTAACTTCTACAGAGATCTCTTTTTTATCACTTAGCGAATAAAAAACATTTGAATAAGTTGAACAGTTTCAAACAATTAATCAATTCATAAATCAAAAATGAAAATAATACAATTTCGAAATTTCAAATCAATTAGAGATTAAAATAAATTAATTAAAAGAAAAAGCTGAGTTCCAATTTTAATTGAATCTTGCTCATTTGAAATCTATTTCAGTTGTAACTTATTGTCAGAAGAACACAGCAATCCTTTTTCACTTCAATAAATCATGCTGACAAGCAAATTAATGAATTAAAAATGGTAATATAAAATAGTATTTGGAGCACTATTTTTAGAATACACAACTCATTAAAGCAATCCCAAATTAGATCCTACCTTTATTGAAATATTTTTGCTTATCTTTTTGACCATATAATTATTTGCATACACAATAAGATTGATTAAATTTCGATCCCATTTTTTAAACATTTGATATATGTCAGGGAAATGATAATAATAGTGATGATGATAATGATTGATAGTGTGAGCAAGATCATTCAAATCATAAAATGACTGAAAAATTTTAAAAAATAAGATTTATCAATTTTTTCTTCCTTTTATAAAATACTCACAAATAATTGAATCGTTCAAACAATTTGAACAAATTCAGATTTGCATAAAATTTGAGTTAAAGTGAGAGGGGAAAAAAAAAAAGAAGATAAGAATGTCCTTTGACATCCTTTGATAACATTTCCCGATCACAGTCAAAATAGTTCATACAAAAGGATGCAAACAAATTATATTTCATCAAGTAAAATAAATGAAATTTGAGAGTTATATTAGTGTAAAAAATATATGTAAAAATCTAATCTAAATTGACTTTTCCAAAAGCTCAAATTGTATCTAAGTAATGAGAGTATCTAAGTAATGACAATTTTATCATTTTAGAATAATTAAGACTCAAAAGTAATATCTTTTTGGTACTACTACCGCTTATTACTTACAGCAATAGCTATTTTAAAAAAAAGAGAAATTTGATAATAAATATAAATACATGTCTGTCAGTGTGTGTGTATGTATACGTATATGTGTATGTATGTATGTGTGTGTGTGTGTGTGTGTGTGTGTGTGTGTGTGTGTGTGTGTATGTGTATGTGTATGTTTATTCATTCAAACACGTCCAAGCATTGTTATAAATAATTAAATATATTAATATCAGAGTAAAAAAAAAGTGGTTATTTTATGACAATAAAATTCAATCCATGCAATAAGGCACGAAAGTATTTTCATAGATGGTTATGGCCTAACAATTGAAATAAGTAAAGCAAACAGGATGATAACATGCAATTTGGTACCACTAATAATTGAAGAGGCTTCAGCCCGCACTGATAAAATACCTGCACTCTTTTCGTTGGCCTCAACTGCTGGCCAACATTCCGGACAAGCATCTTGCAACGATCTCGTCTGCTTAGCCGTATAGGTTGTCTTCACCTGTAACATTAACTGGATTGGAATATAAATTATGAACATCATATTGAATTCCTTTTTTTCATTTTAAATTAATAACAAAAACATTTTAAACTTAAAAGTTAATTAATTAGTCGAATTTTCAATTATCCTTTTTATAAGAAATACAGTGAATGATAATGTATTTGTTAAACATTTGTGATACATACGATTGCATTACATTTTATAAAGACAATATTATTATAACTTTGCGAAAAGCAAAGATCAATAATGGTTTCCCATCATAAGCAATACCTGTTGTTCGGGATCATAATAGTCAAAGAGGACAACTTGTGCAGGTTTTTGTTCTGATATCTGATAAACCATATCACTGTACAATGAGAGACATACCGGTGTTGAACCAATCTACAACATGCAACATTTTCTATGTTGATGAAATTAAAATAAAGAAAAATGATGAAAAATATTCCCTGTACTGCTAATAATAACAAGTAATTATTCTTTCTTAAGAGGAAAAAAGTGGATCATATAGTCAGCTTTATCAGATATGTGAGAAAGTCTAGTGGAATAAACAAAAAAAAAAAAAAAAAAATGTTGAATTAAAAAAAAAAAAGCAGTTTAATATTTAAGAAGAAAGTAAAAAAAGAAAAATCTAATAATAACTAATAGTTCTTATCATAGACTTCATTTCATTGTTTAAATTTTTCGACAAATGTTAATTTTATACAGGATTGAAGTATAAGTTCATCCTTGTATCCTCTTTGTCCAATTCAGCTCTTTGCAAATCGCTAATATCCATAAGATTGTCAAGTTGATCACCATCAAATCGAAATCCTGATAAGGCATCTACTTCAGCAACTGCCATATTAGAACGTGAATCTAGCTTGGTGTAACTGAAAGAGAAAAGTATTATAATTAAATTAATAGATGATAATCAAATTTAGTAAATAATAATCAAATTTAATAAATGATAATCCGGTTAATAGATGATAATTTAAAAGTATTAGGAAATTTTTATAATCAGAAAAGATAAGAAAATATCTAAAATTAAAATTACTTGCAACATAAGTCGAGCTGTAATCGATTGCCACTATGCAATTCACGAACTTCCTTTGTACAATAAAACGGAAGATCATCTCTCATTGTGGTACGATGATATGAATATTGCAGTTGTGCAAGAACAATGCCATTACCTCGAGCATTCAATTCTAATCCTTCGTCCAAATTTGTCAACTACAAACAGACATTAATTCCTTTTCTTTTCTATTCATAAAAGATGATAAGAAGTAGAACACATATGTAGCGTTTTAAATTAAATAAAATGATTTGAACATATTAAAAATTAAAATTTATTTAAAAAAGTACAATAATCATATAAAGTAAACTGTCAGAAAAGAGATTCATGTTTCAAGACAATTAATTAAACATTAGAGAAAAAGATTAATGGCAGTTTGGATGAGAAAAGTGAAAGATTTTCATGGGGAATTGTAGAATTGTAATGTATGAATAAGAAATTTCTCTTATAGTTACCACAGTTAATTACAGTTATCAATTATCACTATAAGTGTTGTTGCTGATGTTGTTATCATGCTATTTACTGATAATTTCTAGGAGAACAGGAATGACTGAAAGTGAGATATCACATTAACTTTGCAGTCAGTAAATGACAGAATTTCAGATCAGTTTCATATGCAAAGCATACAGCTTTCACTAGTAGTTATATCACTATGAATTTTTTTAAATTCAAATGTTACGAAACAATTACTAAAATAAAATAAGAATTAAAATAACCTGATAACTTTGTAGTACCATAGCATTATCAGTTGTCACCTCGAAATTCTGCTTATCAGCGCCATTCATTATCATAATGCTAACGTTGAGTTGCGGTGAATAAACTTTAGCTGCATAAGCGGCCAAAGCTTGCAATGCCATTACTGTATCCTGAAATCATTGTTATTGTTTTGCAATCTCATTATTGTGTCCTAAAATCATTAGTCCTGTATTACTGTATCCTAAAATTATCATTGTCTTACAATGCCTGTATTACTGTATCCTAAAATTATCATTGTCTTACAATGCCTGTATTACTGTATCCTAAAATTATCATTGTCTTACAATGCCTGTATTACTGTATCCTAAAATTATCATTGTCAGTTATGAATCAAACAATAATTTCCATAATATGTATGAGATAGTCCAACCTGTGTACTACTAAAGCCACCGTATGCATTTCGTTGTGATGTAAGCCATCTCACCAAAGGAAGAGCTTTATCAGTATCATCTCTTATCATGTAAGTAAGTAAAACATAGGCTGTCATCTCAACATCTGCTGGTCTTGGTTGGTAGAAGTAATGTTGTGTATCTTTCGGCTTCTCCTGACCAATTTTCGTAGACCAGTAAACACCTTCTACAATTTTTGAAAATTAAATTTTATCATTAAAAACATTTCACGATAGATATTTTAAATCTTAGGAAATACTAAATGAATTCATGAATTTCATTTCATGTAATCTATATACTGTTATTTATAAATATTACAAATAAACAAATAATTGAATTGTATTCTTGTAAGAAAATTTTCAGCTTTTTTTCCATCTATAATTATATCATTTGGTTATCAATAATGGAATCTGATAAAACTAACCAGCATTTTCTTTTTTATGAGATTCAAGCATTTCCAATGCTTCTTCTTTTCTAGAACTATTAGCTAAATGAAATACATAGGTGACAATAGCTAATGCATATGGGTCATCTTTGATTTCCTCGAGATGCTGCTCCAAGTAGTACTGTGCTTTATCATCCCGAACCTCAAATATCGGATCATGATCTAATTAAATACATGTATTTTTTGAAGTTCACTAATCCAAGATAGTGAGTTATACTATTAACAAACTAACGATTTTAGTTAATGAAAAAATTTATGCTAATTTTTGGTAACAAATTTACCATTGATATGATGTAACTAAATATATTTATTTTGAATTACATAAAACTGACTCCATTTTCGAGAAGTGCTATATAGACGTAAGCCGTCAGTGATACACCACCTTCAGCTGCACCACCTTGCATCGCTTTATGATGAACTTCACCACGTTCAGCAAATGCACCATTTTCCTGCAACATGACAATTAGCGCTTTATCTGCTAAAATGCGCTTAAGCATTGAGAAGAAGAAGGAATAAAGTAATAACCTGTTGTTGTTGAGCATTCAGAAATGCAATAGATTCTTGAAGGATATGCTCATCGATGAAGATGAACTGCTGGGCTTGTTTAAAAGATCGAACAACGAATGCTGTAAGCCATGTAGAGCCATGTTTATCACTTTGACCAAATGCCGAGAATGAATGGTCATCTCTTCTAGAATAGACAAATTTTGAAGTTCATTTATGCATCCTTTTAGGGTTCTTTTAATGTCACTTCCAAAAAAAAAAAAAAAAAAAAATTGATGACAAATTTGCAAACATTATAACTTTTAAGATTAAATGATATCAAGGTTAAAGTGTAAGTTTTTAATGCGCAATCAGATAATTTCTTCATAAGTGTACTTATCAGCAAGACTTTACTTCAGCTTACAATCTCATGCAATTTAATAGATTTCGTTTACACGACAGTGTCAAAATTGTTTTAGAAAAATTGTCATATATTTAGAATTGTCAATTTTAGAGTTTTACAACAAATCCTAAACAATTACTTAAATATTTACTTCTTAACTGTATTTTTTTCTTAGTATTTTATTATCATAGAATGGAGAGAACAAATGACAAAAGAGACAAAGTGAAAAAAGCATACAAAAGAGAAAAAAGAGGAAAAAAGTTTGCTGTTTCATTAATTGATGTCATTTCACAGATATTTCATTCTCAAATATGAAATTTCCCAGTATGAAATAAATTCCTATTTAATCTTTTTGTCACTGACATTATCATTAGCCTAATCATTAATGATTGCTGATAAGAATTATCAAATGTTTCAAAGATAATTTTAAACTCCTATTCCTTTCAGTTTTATCACCAATCATTACTGTCCCAAAAAACCAAAATAATTTTATAATACGTCGAAATAAGTTAGATATAAAGATTATCTCGTTTGAATATTTCTTACAACAATGTAAAACTGTTTCAATCTTACATCTCAAATTCATCGTCTAATTTATAGCTCAGCTCATTTGCATTATTTAAAATGTTACACAAATTTTTTAATTCAAAAGTTACAACTCTTTACTTAAACAAATCACTGTTATATACTCTTTCCTCTAAATCAATGTCCATTAAATAAAAATTTAAATCTATTGTTTAACGACAGAAAATTTTAATTCAATGTATCTCAGTACTTCCTCTACCTTTGATCAATCAATCTCTTTCAATGAAAACTTGCAGCTAATCTCAATCAAAAATTTTCCACGATTAATTATTGTATATGATTATTTAATATTTCTTATTAATTAACAAACGTTTATTCCGACTGACTATTCATGTTAACTGATCAACAATAATAAGGTATTAATCGAAAAAAAAAAAATTAAACTTTTCCAACAATTACTTTGTTCCAATTAACAATACAAAATTACCGGTAAGTAAGCTCTCGTTGATAACCAGATTCCATATACTTTTTAGCTTTATTTTCAATTTGCGTTCCTGCCTGTTTTGTAACTTTTAAATAGCGAAGTACAGCAATATTTGGCACAAAATTGATCATATTTTGTTCACCACAACCATAAGGCATACGTACGAGAGAATCTATATTAGCAAGAGCTGAACCCAATAAATCACCTAAAATTAAATGAAAGAACACGTGAAATATAAAGATTAAAGAATTACATGAACTAATATAAAAAAGATTAAAAGAATTAAAGGGTAGATATAAATGCATTTGAAAGTTATTACGATTTCTAAAAGCTAACTAAATTAGCATAAAAAGAATATTTTCTATTGAAATTTTATTTGTACTCTAATCTATCAATGATTTTGATCATTTTAAGAATTATTGTAATTCTAATTGTAAATCTAGTTTATAAACTTTTAACTTATTCACTTCAAAAATTTCATAAACAAATTTCTATTTTTTGTTGATTTAAATCTTATTTTCAGTATCAAATCAGATCAAACATTCAAATAATGAAATATAGTGATTGTAAAAATGTAGGGAAAAGCAAATGAGAGTAAAATATTTATATTTAAGGTATGAAATCTAATGCTGTATTATTTGTTAAATATTCAATTACGTCGATTTATACACGCAAGTGAAATAATTGCTATAACGTGAATATCAGCGATAGAATTTCAAACAGAAATGGTTTTAATATTTTAGCATCAGAATGATTAAAAACTGAAAATTATTACCGATAACATCAAATCGTGCTTTTCGAGATCCTTCTACTGCATCTCTTGGAAATTGCATATCGATTTGTTTTTTAATTTCAGTACTATCATTTGTTTGTGTTAAATCGATCATTATAAGAGTATTCCTGTCTACTCGATATCCTTCCGGCTGCAATTCATATTCAATTATCTCATTTCTGATTATTAAATTTTGTTTACTTTGATACTAAGCCAAGAAAAGGTAACAAATATACCTCAACTCGTAACACCTGTTCCACCGCATCACCAGCTATAGCAGATTGTGCTGTCACAGAAAGAATCACATCACCAATTTTAGTTGGTACAATTGGAAAATAAACTGCTTTAGATACACCACCACTTGGTACCGATATTAATCTTACATTATACTCCTTGTCTTTTACATTTTTACTGTAAAACTAGATTGATTAATTTTGAGTGATATTAGCTAAAAAAAAAAAAACTTTTATATAATTAGCTAAAAAAACAAAAAAAAAAAACAAAAAACTAAACTAAACTATCAATGAAGTTGTAATGTTTGCAATAATTTTTAATTTTTAAGAAATAATTGTTAATTGATTGATCAACTGATCAACTGAAATTCATTATCATTTATGTTTCATTTTATGCAATAATCTAACCTACCTGATAGGTTTTTTAGTAGTACCATCTTTTTGTAGAAAATTATAACCAATATCATCATCATCTTTCAGTGTTACTGCTACCTGTGCAGAAAATTTATCATTAGCTAAGATAGATGACAAGTTTAATAGTTAATTTGTGTAAATTTAAATAAACAATAAAAAATAATAACAATCATAATAAACTATAATCATAACTATTATACTTATTATTACCAATTACAATTAATATATGAATAAAATAAATAAACTAACATCTTGCTCACTGTCCATATAATTAAAAATTAACACTTGCAAAGCAAATTTTTCTCCACGTTTCACTGAGTATGGCAAATTGATACGAATGAAAAATGGTCGAAATACTGTAAGCTAAAATTGAATAAATAAGTATAAATATCATTTATTCAAATTAAATATTATTTCAAAGAAAAAAAAAATGTAACAAATATTAATTATAAATTTTGAAATAGAATAAATAATAATTTTAATAGTTAGATTTGAGTAAAAAAAAAAAAAAAGTTTTATACTATATATATTGACAAAAAATACTTTTGAAGTAGATGGAGCAACTCCAAGACCACTCTCATCATTGATAGCAAAAGCACTTGCAACCCAGGATGTTATTGTATCCGGTACAACCGCTTCGAAAACAGCTTCTCCGGTATCTCTGAAATATCATTGTGTTCAAATTCAATTTGCATTTATCATCCTGTTAAAATCAAAATAATAGTTAAAATTTATATGACAGAGTAATAACTTCGAACTGTAAATTATCTCTCATAAAAAAATAAAGTAAGTTGCAATCTTTCAATTCGAAAAGAAAATGCTATTAAAATCAAAATTAAATGTAATCAAAATTTTTTTTTTCTTTAAAAAAAAGGAAAACTCAAAATATCTTTTCCATTTAAAACATTTTTTCTTTTCTATAAAAATGATTTTACTTTAGATCTTTTCATTAAGCGAAATTTTTTTGTTCATTTATATTAGTCCATTTTTTTAAAAAATGACTTTAATTAATATTAGCCTATATTCTCTTGCAAAAATTTTTTTTATCTTTTCATAAAAAAAAAAAAAAAATCAAAGTTTCAGTTTTCAAACATTGAAATTTTAATATATGAATTTGATCAATTCAATTCAAATTATTTACAAATTTTTATATAAAATTTTAATTTCACTGAATTCTAACCCTAATGTTTATCTCTTTTTCCTTTTAATAGCAAATCAAAATTAATTAGTTTTTTCTTAAAAACTTATCACCATGCTTCTTTAATTATATCACAAGCAGTTTGTCATATTTCAGGGAAAAGGACTAAAAGTTACATTTCAAAAGGACAACATAAAACTGACTTTGTTCTTATCAATCTTCTTATCATTTTATTATCACTACTGTCCGGCAATATATTTCTTTTTTTTAGATATGTGTTGCAAAGTGAATGATTCTGGGTGTATGCCAACATAAATAATTCAATAAATTTGAATTTATGAATAAAATATGTAATTAATTCTTTATCACTGATATAATTGCTTATTATCATTAGCTATCACCATTAGCTATCATCAGCTATCACCTTAATAATCACAGCACAAAGATATATAATAATATTTAGAGCCATTCAATGAATCCAATAGAAAATTTATTGTACTTACATATTTATTACTTAGATTTTATTGCTTATATTAGAAGGAATAATTAAGAATGAAATGTATATTTTACTTAATTACAAAAAACTTTTCTCTAATTGAATTAAAAAAGACATCGTTGGAGGAAATAAAACATTCATACTTTTCTCAACAAATACATTTTTTGATAATTTTCCAGGTGTAAATGATATGACACAAAGTGAGAAATCATTGTAACAATCATTTCTTCTTTTTTTAATTTATCATTTAGTGATAGTAATAGAAAACCTGTTTATCTTTGCGTGAGATATTTTTCATTCAAAGCGATTTCAAAAATTTTTACAACCAATTAGTAGAATATACATATATTGAAAATGAGAACAGGTTTTCTGTTGTCCTTTAGGAAAATAGATTGATGCTAAAATTATACAAAGAATATGTTTAGAAATTGAAAAATTATACGGGGACAAGTTTAAAAGTCCGATAATTTAGCTTGAAGTACAAGATGGAAGATAAATTAAAACGAAAATCATTGAAAAAAGTCAAAAAAAAAAAAAAAAAAATCAAAATACTGATAATTGTTAAATAAATTAGAAAGTGTTATGGTTTCAGGAAAAGAAAAAAGAAAAACAGAAAGTATTCCATAGAAAGTTATATAGTACAGAGTTATGTCTTCAATTCAATATGATAATATTGATGACTTAGTAACTCAGTTTCAAACTATCAAAATGAGTTAGAATTTATGAGTACGTAGCAGAACACTGAAAGAATTACGTGTAATGCGTGATGTGCGTGTGTACGTTATTAAAATAATGCATTTCAAAATTGTAAGTAATAGCTGTGCATCAAACAATTACACAGGTGTGAAATTATGATACGTGAAGAGTACTCATACTATCATGACCTTTTTAAAGTACTCATACTATCATGACCTTTTTAAGTTAGAAAGAGAAGTAATGAAGAGAATGATGGTACGTCAACATATATACAAATCGTATGAGTTCATTTTTGATATTAATAATTAAATTATTATAGCTTGTTTAACCTAAGTAATTAATATCATGCAAAAGTCAAACCTTAAAGGAGGTCAAACTAAATTGACTATATTTATTTGACATACTTTTTTGCATATGATAATTAATTAAGTATGTATGAAAGGAAAATGATAAGAATGATAAACTAAAAAATTGAGAAAACAAGCATCTAATTATTAATTTATCCACTAAATAAGACCAATAATCAATCTTTGTACTGAATTTATATTAATTAATCAGAATTTACTACTACCAAGTGGAGCAGGAAATAGTTCGTAAGAACAGAATGATATAAACAGTACCGAGTTCGCATGTTGCTCCAAACCCATGTTTCCGGAAACAATTTCCGTATCTTAGGTAAGTCATATAGGTCGGAACTTTTCTCCGATATTTCTTCATCCATACCTACTTTAAGGACAGAACGCGCAGCACCAAATGCAATTGCTGGAAATCGTCGCCAACTTTTGAAATTCACTAAAATGGAAAAAAGCCAATCAGATCAGTTTGGAATAAACAAACTTCAGCGAAAGCAAAGGATCAAAGCTTTGCATCGAAAAGATTTTGTATAGGGCCAAGGGAGAATGCAATGATTATGTAATATGAGAGAAATGAAAATGAATTAAAAAATGATAAATTAAAATATCACACAGAATGTTATCAACAATTAGTGATAACATTATCAGAATGATTATCCTATATGATCAATGCATTCTTAAATAACTTAATAGCAATATCATGCAGTGCTAATGATAAGAAAAAAAAAAGAGATCATTCTTATATGGTGCTGATAAAGAAGGAAAGAAAAGATAAGTGACAACATCTCTATGATTACACTGATAAAGTGATATTTGTTCTGCAGCTAGTTGCAAGAGAGTAGAATGATAATTTCAATAGTCTTAAAAACTTAACAAAAGTTTTAAAAAATTGATAAATTTGACAATTCTCATTTCTCTTCAGGCATATTAATTGTAAAAGTTATCACGAAAAGTAAATGATTTAGTTTTAATTTTATTTGCAAAATAAATAATAAATTTAATGTTGTCATCTTCCTTTCATAGTATTTTCAGGATATGTCTGAAATAAATTGACCGGAAATCAAATGCTATTATTTCGGTTAAAATCACACCGTTATGTTTGCTAGTGATTGATGGATGCTTATCATGCGTCCAGTAAACAACAAAAAAAAAAAAAAAAAACAATGAGATAAATGCACTGTGATAACACAATGATAACACAATTTTTCTAACGATTGAAGTTATTTTTTAAAAATTAATTTTAAATTAAGTGATTAACATATTTGCAAGTCAAAGAATAATGATGCAATGAATGTTAAAGGTGAAAATTAAAAAAAAATAAAAATAAAAATAAAAACTTCCAATTCTAATTAACTGCTTTTGTCCAAAATGATGAAAATTTAAATCCAAGTGATAATATTAAAATTGTAAAATGAATTGAACTGCAAAAAATTTTTCTTCTTTAACACTGATAATAATTTCTAAAAAGGGAAAAGAACTATAGAGGATGGAATAAGTTGAATGTTATTCAAAATTTATTCTCAGCTGCTTATCTGATAATTTCAAATTCTTTTGTGCCAATCAATATCAATTATTCATTTATAAATGGTATGATCTATCTCTATTCTCTCTGATAACTATCACGAGATATTATTTCATATTATAATAATCAGTAATGATGATAATGTAATTTAAATAGATGATATTATTAAAATATCACTGATAATTAAAATTAAAATGTCATTGATAATTCAATTAAAAAATATGATTGTATGTGTGATAAAGTTGACAAAAAGAGCAAATAATCTTATAAATCTCTAAAAATTACAATATTACGTAGCTTGAATTAGGATTACGTAAAGGATAAGCAAAAACTGATAACGGTGCTGATAATGAGAGCTTCAATTCAAAATAAAAATGATATCTTGTATGTCTATGTGATTTGAAAAATCAACAAGCTATTTATGAAATTTAGTTATGATTTAATATTGACATTTGTTTAATTGAATTAATCATACTGCTAGGAGAATAAGCTTAAACTTTTAAAGTTTATTGTATTGATAATAAAGTAGAAAAATAGATTACAATTGATAAGTAAACTATTGTAATCAAGTTGATAAATTGATAATAAACTATTGTAATCAAATACGATTATTAGTATTATGATAGATTAAAAGTTAATTAGTTAATTATAACTAAATATTATAGTATTATAGTTAATTAATGATCGGCAAAATTTAAAAGATTTTAGCACTAAATACAAATTCTCAGACTAAATTGAAGTATCCTAGGCAAATGGAATACTTATAAAAAATTCAAAAAGTGAATGTCACATAAATAAACTTTTTTTACAAACTTTTTTTCCCATAAATTTAACAAATAAATGAATGTACTTTTGTATTTGTAAGAAAAGGAGAAAACAAATTTTAGTTTCTAGTCAATAAATTATTATAGAAGTAAACTTTTCGATTAAATTAAAAATAAAAATGAGGCATTCCCTAATTAACTTGTCCCTAATTAGTATTACTTCTAAAGTAATCAAACAAAGATAAATAAGTTTTTATTAATTTTGAAATAATATAACTCAAATTAATTCTCATTTTATTTTTTATGGACTAAATTAATTATCATTAAAATAATTATAGTTTAGATGTAGAAAAAGTGTTGAAATTTGCCCACACATTTTCTGCCTGCCCATATTTTTCTATCAAACTAAAAAAAAAAATTTTTTTCTTTTTTAGAAAAAAAAAAAAAGAGAATCAAATAGAAATTACACCTCAACTAAAACTTGTAAATTGATAAAAATGAGAAGAATGGACAAGAATCGATCTTACTCTGCGGCAAAAGTAGCGCTCCATATCCAGGATTCCGGAAAATTCTTCCTTATTCGTGTCATTTCAGAACCTTTCATAGAACCGGCTTGGTTCACATCGTTTTCTAACATTAGATTAGGTTGAAAATTACTGCCCAATGGATATGCTACTATTGGTTGAGCGAATCCTGAAATATTAGCTCCTTCCGCTCCGGATGCTGATAAGTATAATTTTGATATCATTTTGCTCATGTAGACATTATCACTATATTTTCATGTCATATTAGAAATGCCAAATCCTACCTCAATTGTTGTTAGTGATAAGAGCAGTGATAGTGATGATGCGATGATACTGCTAACAGTGATACTAATAACTAAACAAATGGTATCGATAATGATGGTACTACTGATAAAGCAAAATACTATGCTGATAATAAGAATAATAATTGCAATATCAAGAGTAACACATATCATTAACATTATCATTGATAATAGTTACTAACTAGTAGTAACATATTATGAAAAGTGTGATAAATTAGAAGTGAAAATTAGTTAACTTTTATTTAGTATAAAAACAAGCTTATAAATAAATATTTCGTGTTAATTAATAGCAAAAAATATGCAAAAAAAAAGTTAATTGTGATTAATTTTTTATGATAATTAATTAATTAATTAATTAACGCGTTTTGTTAATGATTGTAAACATAACAATGAGCAAATTAATAATTTTAAGCTGATGAATTATGAATAAAAGATAATTTTATGTGTTAAATATGAAATAAATTATTAAACTTTAAATTTTTTATGCAAATATATTTAGAACAAATTTTAATCAAAATTCTTCATTTAAAGCCTATCATTACTATTACAAGTATTATCTAATCTGATTAATAAATAAAATTATCAATTGATTTTTTGATTTTTTTCAGCAAAACGATTAGAAAATACAAATTGCAAAAGTATTGTATCAATTATTATATCAGAAAAGACTCCAATTTAAATATCCAAATATTATTTAGACATCTCGGGATCAGTTATTGAGAGAGAGAGAGAGAGAGAGATCCATTTATTATTATTTTTTTGAAGATATAAAATCGATGAATGACTTATTTTTAACCATTAAGCATTTCTGAGTGATAGTGAAATTAGAAAAAATAAAAGTTCTAAAGAGAGATCATATTAAAGTTTTAGCTTTTAACTTTAACTATAGTAGAAAAAAAAAGATTGATCGCATAGAATGAGTGATTTTGATCAGTAGATCTTTTTTCTATTGATTATTCTTATTTTATTATTTATTAAAATTCTCGAATCAAACAGCTCTCGGGAATTCACTGAGAAAGGAAATAATTTAATATTAGCCCAAGAAAGAGGCAAATTTTGATTATCATTTTTTGAACTATCAAAATGAACGGTATATTAAGTATTATTTGAGTAAAAGACAAGCATTTTTGGATTAGTTATAAATGAATGTTACTTGCAAAAAAAAAAAAAGCAGCAAAACATCAATGCAAAACATACTAGCATGCATGCATGCATGCAATGCATGCATTTCATCCTTATCCTCATTCTATTACTAATTCAATCATCTGTGAACATTTGTTTATTGTAACTAAAACCAAATGTTGTAAAATTTATTTGCTGAATTCAAAATAAAAAAATAGAAATTTAAAAATAGCAAATTATAATGCTTAGAAGAAAGGTCAAAGGTGAGATGAAATCTTTTTCATCAATTCATATGCTAAATTAATATTTAAAGCCTAGTTCAAAAAAAAAAAAAAAATGGCCATACATTAGGCTCTTTTTTTTTTTTGCTCGAGAAAATACTTACTTGCAACATCAGGGCCACGAAATAGCAGTGCATCAGTTAGAATGACAAGACCTGAGTTCTGCAAATTATTTTTGTTTTTTTTTGTTTCTTTGTTTGTATATTTTGAGAATGAAATTAATTCTAATTAATTCAAAAAAAAAAAAAAAAAGATTTCATTTACTATTAATTAAACTAATTAAAAATAATTAAAACTTTTTTTTTTTTTTTTAAAAAAAAGATGCAAACATCAAAAATTGTTGCAGCATCTTTACCACCAATACCCCACCACGGATACCAGACGGATCGCTTTCGACGTTTTACATCTGCTTCCCATGATCGAAAGCTATGGCCAGCAATTGTTGTATCATATTGTTCTACATCTTGTTCCACCTGAAAATATTATTTTTATTTTTTTTAAAAAAAAAAAAAAAAAATTATCCTTTAAACATTTAAAAATGGTAAGTTTATTTTTTAGAATGAAATATTATGATCAAATTAATTTATTACTCATTTTTTTTTTTTTTTTTTTTAAAGAATAGAGTATGACAATCAATAAACAATAAATAATTTTACATAATAAACAAATAATATCATAGCATTAAATATAAATATTTTTTAAATTTTGACTTATATATTCATTTCAATTCTTTTGTAAATTGTATTTTAATGCTAATAATAAAATTAATTTCAAATTTACCAAATCTTTTGTAATATCATTGCCAGATTTTAGAAGCAAAACACTTTGATCAACTGCAAGTAAAGCGCAATATGATTCCGGATCTGCTTTTATGGTATATTTTATTGAAGTACCCGGTTCTGCAGTATTATGATCAGCAGTAAGTGAGACCTGAAAGTCTATTCGAAATGGTTTATTCAAAATTTTCCTTTTTTTTTTTTAAATTTTGATCTTCAATTATGTTTTTTAAATTATTTAATTGGTTTTTTTTTAAGATTAATCCCTTTCTTTTTTTTAATTAATTTTTAATTTACAATCAATAGTTTTTGTCGAATCTTTTTGACAATCTGCTAAAATGTAAACTAGCTAACATTGTTCCTGAATAAGCCATCAACTCGGAAATCGGTTGCATCAACCAAAATTTCTTGATTCGATGCTCGGACAGTATATACGACTAACATTGCTTTTGGTGCCATTTGTGATGTCGCAGTAAATGTAATCGTTGCTAAATCACCATTAACTGACATATTTTGGACAAGAATTACTGATCCACGAGCTATTACCTGAAATATACCTTATAAAGTATCGATACTTATCAGTAGTGTAGATAATATTTGATATGCTGTGATAAGAATGATAACAGCTAATCATCTATAATAGCAATTCGATCAGATTAAAGTTCAAAAAATTTGAGACATAGAAATAAAAGACTATCACTTAATTAGCCATGAACTTTTTGTTAAAGTTAGCATTGGTTTAAAATTTTAAAGTATATAAACCTGATAAGTGATTGTTGATAACGGTTCAGTAGCTTTCACCGTAAATGATAATGTTTTCCCGGTATCAACAACACCGGTATGATCGGCAATCAATTGCAAGAAATTATTTGATGGACTTATGCTTGGTTCAATATAAAGAATTGAATAAATGCTTGCACTCTCGAAATCGTCTTTTCCGGAACGATCATAATGAGCCTATAATAATTAATAATATTTGTTGTTGTTATATACAAAAATAAAAAGAAGACAATCCCTAGTGATTATTTATTAATTTTAAAACTTATCTTAACCTTTCTCAATGTTAACAAAAGAAAAAATGAATTGAATTTGAACTATGAACTATCAAAAGAAAAGTAAATTATAGTCAAGTACTTATATAAACAAATGTGTAAACAGTATTAAATGTTAGAAAAAAGTAAATGAAAAGTAATCTTTGCATTTCTCCGTCAAATCATTATCAGTAATTATGAGTAATTTATAGGTAATATATCTGAAAATTTGAAATTTACATTTGAAATATGTAATAAAACTAAAATGATATAAGAATTAAAAAAATTTTCATTCTCTCTTTCAAAGAGATACTTTAATAGCAAAAAAAAAAAAAAAAAAAAAAAAAAAGAAAGAAAATGATAAATATTAATTAAAATTTAAATAGGATAAAAAGTAACTTCAACTCTCGCATCGGTGCAATTATTTGGTGGTTGCAAGGTAATCACAGCAGTTCCATGTGCATCCAAATCCACAATTTTCACTTTTTTATCTTCATGTTGTGTTATTAAATCGGTCCCAAACAAATAGCTATAGAATGTTGTCACCTGAATGATTCATCTATTAAAATTTATAAAAAATTAACGGTGATAAAAAATGATAAAATATTTCCCATTGTATTATTGTATTTTATGAGTAATACAATTTTTACTTAAGTTATGTTTTGACAATTAATAACTTTTTGTAGTGATGGAAAAAAGAATTAGAAGTTTAGTTAAGCTATAAATTTAGTGAAATAGAACTATGTATTACCTATACACATTAGGTAATTTAGTAAAGTAAAACTACGTGTTACCTGTACACGTTTAGGTAATTTAGTAAAGTAAAACTACGTGTTACCTGTACACGCTTAGGTAATTTAGTAAAGTAAAACTACGTGTTACCTGTACACGTTTAGGTAATTTAGTAAAGTAAAACTACGTGTTACCTGTACACGTTTAGGTATGGTAGCCTTAATTGGTGTATCATCCATTTGCTTTAATGTAATGACAATATTATATCCAAGGCCAGGTTTGAATGTTTCACCTTGTTTTTCCATATCAAGTTTAACATCATGTCGATAAGCAACAATCTGAACTTATTTCATATCTTTTAAATTTTAGAAATTAAAAAAAAAAAAAGAAATTCTTCTTAGAAAAAGAATATAAACAGAATAAATAAAATTATAAGAAATAAAATTGTATAAAATAAAATTAAAAATTAAAAAATTAAAATTAAATTGAACAAAAAAAAATAAAATCATAAATAAAGCAAATAAAACTCTTTGTTAGAATAATAAATCATAATAATAAGCACTTATTTCTTTTTATGAATAATAAAAATTACCTGTGTGGTAGCATTTCGTTTAATATCTGTCAAATCTTCGGTAACTGTTGCGGTAATTTTCACCGAGCTACCACCATATCCTGTCACCAATTTATGCTTCTTCAATTCATCATTTGTGAAAACAATCGTTGCTTCTCCCATATTATTCAAATTTATCGTTCTTTCAATAATGTTTTCGTGCTCCTCCTAGCAATAAAATGAACATTACATAAATGCTAGCTAATATAAAATAAATTAAAATTAATTAATTAATTAATTTCAAACCTTTTGAATAGTTCCATCATCTGAGACAACTAATGGTACTGTAAAATGATGCCAAGGTAATTCTAAAGTTACTTTTGCTTTACCAGATACTCCTTTTCCATATGTATACCTATAATAGTTTAAAATATGTAAATGATTTCATTGCAATTGAATTATTTTAAAATTTTAACACATTATGAAGCGAATGCTTGAAATCGATTGATTATTATTGATTCAAATACTTTAAGAAATATTTATGTAATATGAAAAAGTAATACTTATTGAATTTATTGTTTATATTAAAATGAATGTTTAATATTATATAATGTATAAATGAATTACTTAGCCTCAATATGAACGCTTAAATCATCGTTGATAGTAATAAAACTTGGCGTTTTCACGTTTACTTCAAATTTCGGTAATACATATTTGTCCACCGTAAAATCTTTCTCAAATTTAATTCCACTTTTTGTTTTCACCATTATTTGCCAATCACCAAGTGGTGGTTCCACTGATAATTCCAACTCATTTGAATACACTCCTATAAATCATTTTTCCAAAATTTGTTCCTTTTTTTTTTTCATCAGAAAAAAAAAAAAGGAAAGAAATTGTAAATATTTGAATAAAATTATTAATTTTTAATAATACCTTTTGTCAACGTTTGATCATTTTTTTGACTAATAATATTTTGATTTGGATCTTTGATCATTACCGAAAGTGTTTCCGAATAAGGTTTCAAATCAGGTTTTACCACTACTACACGATATCGCACTGCAATTTTTAAATAATTATAGTAATTTCAAAAACTTTTTTTTTTGGAATTTAGAAATTACAAATTAATTATTCCATTTGACATTTCTTTTTTTTTTTTTTTTAAATTCAATTTCTAGAATTTAATTAAACAAACCAATAGATCCAGGCTTATAGATTGCTTTATCGGTTTGTATAAACACTGAAAGTGATTTTTCATCAAAACGGACATCGCCTTCATCCTCAAATAAAATTTTTGAACTTAACGTCTCGCATCTCACATACACCTTGTAGTATGAGCCAGGTAAAAGAATTTCAGGTGATAATTCATCGATTGTTATTGTCTGTGGTACACCTGAATTTATTGAATTTGTAATTTATTAATTCAATGAAATGAGTAGAATTTAAAATTTATTAAGCAGTTTATTTTTGGAAACCAATAAAATTGAAAATGATATCAAATGAGTCTTTTTTAAACTATTCGTTTGCTAAATTTATCAATTTCAAATTAAAACATTTAAATTTTAGCGATACTTTCATTTCTTATACATTGAGGTATTATTTTTTGTTTTAATTTAAACTAATAAAAATGTGCTTTATAAAAGTTATAAAATAAATATCTTATGAAATAATTCATAGTAAATTAATTATTAGAATAATTATAATGGACAATAAGTAAAACCGAAAGAAATTTCCTGATTAATTTAATTCAGTAAACCTGAAAAACTAACTCAAAATTAATTATTTTCTTTTTCCTTTTTTTTTTTTTTTTAAATTCTTTCTTTCTTCTTCTCTTTGTATTCTTTAATTGAATAAATGTATCGTCAAATTTTAGAATATAAAATGATTATTAAAATCTTTAGCCTAAAAATAATTGATTAGTTTGGAAAATGAATCATTTTAATGTTATGATAAGAAAAATGATAATAATGATAAAGATGATAAGAACCTGTCTTAACATTATTAACAACACGAGCTCCCACTGTATCATTTTGAGTAGTTCGGATTTCAATTCTTACAATATGATCACTTTCCGGACTTTTTAGCACATTCACCGAAACAGCATACGGCAAACTTGGCCTTACCACTTTAGGAGCAATCACCAAATATGTCCCAGGACTGAAATTTCATTTTAAATTTTAATAATTCATTTCATTGTAAGAAGTAGAAATAATTAAAGATCGAATAATTAGCTATAATATTAGCATAAAATTATTTGTAATACTTAATGAGTTCATTAATTTTATCTGTAACATTATACCTTTTCCCATGTTAATTAATTGATTAATTCGTAATGAATAATTGATAGAATGTAATTAATATTTTACTAAATAAGAATTTTTGAAATTAAATTTACTTATTATTCAAAATTTAATGAATTAACCTTAGTAATTTGAATAATGATAAATTGATAAATTTATAAAACTTACTGCGTTTGTTCAGTTCCATCAGTGATCCCAAAATGATCTCCAAATGGTTTCATCACGTCAACAGCTATCACGTTACGTAAGGCTACGGCAGTAAGGCCGAATAGCCACACATTAAACATTTCGGCCTTTCCGGATTTGCTATCTTCTTTGTAGCACTGATTTATTCTATTTCTGAGTATTAATTATAGCATGAAATTCAGAAAAACATAAAAATGAGTGATGCATAAGACGTGAAAGCAAAATGATAATAATTGATATCAACTGATAATGAATATCAATTATAGCATTTCTGATATAAGTTAAAATTATGCATTATAAAAATGTTATTTAAATAAATAGTATAACAATCAAACAATTTTTACACAATAGAAAATGCGTTGATAATTATTTGATATTTTTGATAATAAATATTATCATAATAATTTCTTATCAATATGATAGATAAATATTTTCTTTAATAATTTTTCACATAAATATTACGCTAAAAATGTTTTAAATTAAAATTACTAATAGAATTTCATTCCCGTTTTCGATATTTATTTCCAATTAAGTTTCAATTTCATTTTCATTTAATTTCATTTTAAATTTATAAAACAATTATTTACATTTTGTTTTATAATTATCACTAAAAAATTAATAATAGTTGCATAAAAAGTATAATTTTTTTTTTTTTTTTTAGCTCTGCTAATATCAGTTTATAATCTAAGAATTAATTAATTAATTAATTATCATTTTAGGATGATTAATTTGGGAAACACATAATTTCATTCAATATTTGAAACAAAAAATTCCTCCATTAAACGATACATATTTGATAAAATTTTATTCGAATAGGACAGAATGGAATTAAATTTTAAAAGTATGACAATTAATTCAAAAATGGATAATTTATAAATTCCTAGCATTCCATTAATTTTTATTATATTATTAGGTAAATAAAAAATTAATCAAATAACTCTTTTTTGTGTTTAATAATAAATTTACATTAGCATTGAAATTAGAAATGAGAAGAAATATTTTCAAATTGTTAAACATTTTAAATATTGAAGCATACATAAATCGTTAAGATTTCTCATTTTTCAAAACATTTCAAATGCTACTTTTTTTTTTTTTTTTTTTTAAATAAAAATAGAAATTGAAAAATGTAATTCAATGGTTTAACAGAAAAATAAAAATCAAATGGCAATTTTGAATAAGCAAATAGCATTTTAAATTTGCAAATGAAAAATCTCAGCAAAGTTTTATATTTTCTCTTTTCTTTTCTTTTTCTTTTCTTTTTTTTTGATATTATTGTAGATTGTCCTGTAAATTTAATCTATGAATTTTAATAATTCGTATTTGTATGCAAAAGAAAAGAAAACAAAAACAAATTGAGCGAATATAATTAATTAATAATTAATAATAAATTATAAAAAAAAAAAATCTTGATAAATTATCATAATAACAGTAACAATAATTACTATTATTATAATTTCTAAACAATTAAAATTATAATCAAAATTGTACAAAATAAAATGATACTTACAAAAAAATTTTAAAAGAATTAAAAAATTTTTTTTTTTTGCTTTTGAAAAGATTTTAGAGAAATGATGTTTGAGACATGTGATCGGTTAAATGCAATTCTTCTGTCAGCTGCTTCAAAAAAAAAAAAAAAAAAGAAAAAGAAATGAGTCAGCAAATCAATTTTAAGAATATTTTCAATTATTTTCTTAAATGATAAAAGTAGATAATTGAATGAGATAATTTTTGATGAGATGCTAAAATTATGAGTTTGAATAAATGTAAAATATAAATATTATTCGAATTTATAAATATTTGATCATATTTCTAACTATCAAAACAAATAGTTTTAATTAATTAATTAATTTAATTATATTAAATTACATAAATATATGCTATCATAAGCTTTTTTTTTAATTATTTTCTAGAAAAATCAGCAAATATCTCAAGAATGATTCAATTTTGTAATGTAATAGAGAAAATTGAAGAGAGGAAATAAAATGATATTATTGCCTTTACGAAGTGGTATGACACACAACGCTCACTCTGTTAATAACTTTAAACCAGTTTTAAAATCATTGAAATTTCTCAATGAAACTTGCGAAAAAAAAATTTTTTTTTTTTTTTTTTTGAATTTGTAGGAGGAAATTTTAGTGATAGAGAAAATTCTGTTTGCAAACATATATTTTTATCCATTGATGATGATCAATGGAGCTTCCAATTTTAAAAATTGGGAAGGAAAAAAAAAAAGAGAGAGAGAGAGAGAAAGACTAATGAATTCAAATTCAGGTTATTCAATTTAGGATATTTATTGAATGTAAATTGCATCCTTATATGGATGAAATGATATCAATTTGAAAAAGAAATTTTCTAAATATATGATTATGTGTGATAATTGTATGATAATCATATCAATTACTCAAATTATCACTTCTGATAATGTAAGTAAGCAAATTTAAAAAGTAACTATGAATGTAGTAAGTATAAATCAGTAGAAATCAATGCTTTAATTAATGAAATTTCTTCTTAAAATTTTTTAAAAGAAAAAAGAATTTAGAAGAGGATAAATTTGTCGTTCAACTTGATCTGAATAACTTTTCTAACCTATAATTAAATATCAATCGATATGAGTAAGTAATCGCATCAACGGATAAAAACGATTTTCGCAACGATGCGAATAATAATCGCAGTTGCATTTATTTAGATGCGATCTTTGAAAAATTTTGTATGAATGAATGATAGTTGAGAAAGATTCTTTTCAGATTTTAAATTATAAATTAGAGATTAATTTTCAATGGTATATTTATGTTAGCAAAATTATAAAATCAATTTTCTTTTTTTTTTTTTTTTAAAGAGAAAAGAGGATTTAAAGGAGGACAAATTATTGATGAGTTTGAAGGATGGAAAAGAATGAGAAAAGAATCAACAAATAAAAATAAAAATAAAATAAAATAAAAATGTAAATGCAATGGCAGAAGGAGGAGTTCGAATGTTTGTCCTCGGAAGAAGAAATAATTAATCTTAATTGCTCTACCAGCACTTCTCCTATTCTTCCATTTTTACTAATTAGTTAATTAGAGGTTACCTTTGCCTCCGTTAACACGAGCATACCTGCTACCTTTGCATATGATACCTTGGCCATTTCATAAGGACATCCAAGGACATTCATTCATCAATTAAAGGTGATAATTACTAACCATATATTTACGACATATTGATAATAATTAGAATATGGTTAATACTAATACTACTACTACTACTTAATAATAACAATAATAATAATGATAATAATGATAACATACAAAATACTTTGATATATTACAGCTACTAAAAGAAAAATTATCATTTATAATCACTAATTGAAATTTTAAAAAAATGTGTGGATTTGCACAAAAACTAAATTATAAGCATAAAATACAATAAAAAAAAAAAATGTAACGAGAAATATTGATAATTTTAACTCTATCACAATTATGGAAATTTGTAAGTGATAAAAAAATTTTGATAACATTTTTTTTTTTTTTTTGTTTGAATTAATAGAATTGTCGTATAGCACAATTATATAAGATATATGAATAATAAGGATTAGAGAATAATTTACTTTCATAAAATATTTACCATCTGGTAGCATTTCAAGAACGAACAACAAGAAAATTAATAGCATCCTCAGAAAAGTTAATTTTTCTCTACGAAAAAAAAAGAAAAAAAATAAAATAAAATAAATTCTACGATTTTGTAAAGACCTAAAAATATCAATAAATATGAATAAATAATTAGAAAAAAATAAATAACAGATATATTTTATTAAAGACGAAGAGACTTAAACAATAATTTGATAATAAGTGATAAATTTTGATAACTTGAATAAACTGATAATTCTTTTTGATAATCTTTAAAATAAAAAAGAAATTCATCAAATTAAAAGTTTATCATTGCTTTAACATTAATTACAATCATTATTAATTATCACAAATTATGATAGTAAATTAATTCAAAAATATTATTTAAATAAAATATTGCAACAATAATATTGATTTTAAGACAAAAAGAAAAAGCAAAAAGTCTAGAAAATCTCTTTTTTTTTTTTTTTTTCTTTACAAAGAGAAAAAAAATGAAAGAAATTTTGCACTTTTTTTTATTTTTATTTACAATTAATGCCTTTTCTTTTCTATACAAAAAAATATTTTAAAGAAAGAAGAAAAAGCTATTTTTTAATTAATTAATTAATTAAAGTTTAACTTAAAAAACGTTTTGCTAAATTGTTTAATTTTGCAAATAAGAAAATTCTGAAAATTAATATAAATAATTTAAAATTTAAAACTGAACAAAATGATGAATTGATGAAATATAATTGCTTGCGAACAATTATAATGGGTTTTTGTCATTGTTGAAGAATTGAAGTGGACAGATAATAATAATAATAATCTCATCCATTTTCAATCTTTCTCTCCCAATTCTGTCACGATCTATTTGTATTACTAACAATAACTATTATTTATCATTATTATTGTTATTGTTATCGCTATTGTTATTGCTGTTGTTGTTGTTGTTGTTGTTGCTACTCGTATTGTTATGCCCTTATTGTTATTGTTATTATAATATTGTAATAATTAGTTTTTATAATTAATAATAATTAACTTGCCTGTACTTTACAGATCTAATCAACAATTTATTTGCTATTTTAATCAGTTAAATTTTTATTAATCAATATTGCAATATTATTGATAATTTTTTATTAATATTTTTTTTTTTTTTAAAACATTAGAAATAGCACAAAATACTTCTGTTTTATATATATATTTTTTTTTCAAATTCTTTTCAATTATTTTAACAATTTTTTTAGTACAATAAAATATAATTTGAGATATTTAATGTTATCGATACTATCTGAATTTGTTTCTTTGCAATTAAAATTGTCTTTTTGAGAAAAAAAAAAAAGTGAAAAAATTGAGTGAATTTATATAGGTAGCATTTATTTTACTTCAATTCTTTAATAGCTGTACAATTAGCAAATTTATTATATCAGCGAATTTTACCAACAATTATTGAATTTAAAATTAGACATTAAACATTGATGAAAAAAAACAAAGTACTTTATTTTATAATTTTCATGTAATTCTTTTAAATTGAAAGTTTTTTTTTTTTTTTTTATTTTTAAAAAATTTCATTGCTAATGAAATGTACCATAGATTAAAAAGTAGCAATAAAATTTAGCACAATTGTTTGAGTTTTTTAAATTAAATATTGAATTAAGTCAAGTTAGGAAAAGACTAAAAATAAATTAAATTTAAAATTGAAAAATGTTAAAATGATTCGAAACTGATTGCAAGAAATGGTTGTATTTAAGCTAGCATTAAGTGGCCAATTGTATTGAATTGCTAGCCAGTGTCCACTACGAGAAGCAGGCCAATGTCCACAACAATGTACAATTCAATTCTTCTTCCTCATTTAACATTTGTCCCATTTCTCATTTCTTTTCTAATTTTAACTCCAATCCTTTACAACAATTATTATTTATTTAACTAAAGTATCTAAATTATATGACACTTTCCGAATGAATTAATTTGAATTGAAGTGACCAATAGTATCAAAAATGATTAATTGATAAATTATAATCAATTTTGAAAATTGAATACTATCCTTTTATCTATTACAGAAAAAATGCAAAAAATGTTTTTGAAAATATCTAAACATATAAATTAAATTTTTTTTTAATATTTTGAATTGGATCAGATAAGAAATGAAGAAATTGTAATATCAAATTTGCATGAAATATTTAATTTTAGGAAAAATTTTCAGAAATTTTCTCAATTTTTATAATACTTTTCATTAAATCAATTTTATAATATTTTTAATTAAATCGATTACTTTCACTTTTTTCTTTCCATAAAGAATTTTTGAACATTCAAAATGCTTGAATTTTTTTAAAAAAAGAAAATTTAACGTTTCACATTTTTCTCAAAAATTACAATTTAAAATGTTGATTAATTTAAAATTTTCTAATGTAGCATGCATGTAATAAATGTATAATACAGAAATATATATATATCACGTACCACGTATATCACGTAAGTTAATTCACGGAACAATGCATAACATAAAACAATTGAAAAACATGGAAAGATGAAATTGACAATTTGTCATAACACTTGAGCGCATTGCAGTGATCTGATAAGTTAATCTCTGATGTTTGATCTTTGATATTTAGCATAGTATTTGATATTTGCTATGGTTGTAAATTAAATTAAATTAAATTAAAATTTATGAAATGATTTTTACTTTTGTGAAATGTTAATTTCATTTCTGTAACATTTATCATTTATCTTTTAACAGTGCTTTTGATCTAAGCTATTGAATGATAACTGTTATCATAATCAATCAATAAATAGTCTATTGATGATTTAAAAAAAAAAAAGATACAACTTCAATGATTGTTAATTAATCTTTCGAAGCCATTTCAAACTTTCAAACTAAGCAAATAAATAAATAAATATGTTTTTGCTAAAAAAAAGCAAAAAATTGAATATGGATTAATTAATTAATTAACATATCCAAGTCTAATTAATGGGTTATGAAATTGAGTGTTTGGAAAATTTCTCGATGAATAAACAATGTAATTATGTAGCTTTAGCTTTTAGTCTAAGCTCTTTTAAAAAAAAGAAAAAGTTGTAAAGGTCATAATGAAAAGGTTATATGAAAAGGTCATAAAGCAAAAATAGAAATGTAAATATAAGCATAAAGTAGTATTGCGGTAGGTAGCAGTGTCATAAGCGGAAAAATGCTAAAACGATTTCTGCGCAATGGGACCGAAAAAATGAAGTGGGATAAGGCTTAAATGTAGAGAGGATTACTTACAATGGAAGCCTACAAATTATTGGTTTGCAAGTGGCAAAGAAAAAACAAATATAAGCCAAGGTTTGAGCTAATTCTGATGAGGAAGAAGAAGTAAATTCGGAAGGATGAAAGATTGAAGAAGACGAAAGTTCAAAAGGTCAGCGAAAGGAAGAAAAAATTTGAGAGAAAAGAAAAAGTTATAAGGAAGAAGTGGAAAAAAAAAAGGGAAAAATTAGTATTTCATTATAATTAATCTTTGATTTTTCTTTTTTTTTTTTTTAAATTCATTAAATTTAGTCAAAATTTCAAATTCTTTGAGCATTTGTTCCTCATTGAAATTTATAAAATATTGATTAATGGATTAAATTTTAACAATAATCTTATATCAGTAATTATTAACAATTAATGCAATTATTATGTATGTAATTTGATCCAAAAAAAAAAAATAAATAAATAAAAAATAAAAGTGAAATAATTTTTATTGTGTAATTTAAAATATGTGAAATGAATAATTTCTGTGAAATGAACAATTCATTTTAAATGTTTCGAAAAAAAAAATTTATTTGAAAGTAAGTTGAAATTTAATCATTCATTTCACATATTTAAAAATTTCACAGTGATAATTACTTTTTTTTTTGTTGTTTCTTTAATTAAAACATTATTTTGTATTTTTATTTCGTTTCAGTTCTGATTTTGATTAAAAATTTAAATAAAAATATTTATGTATTGCACATTTGTGTTAACAGAATAATAGTTTTTAATTTTCTAAAAGCTTTTTGTATATGTTTACTTTTCCTTGATGGAATTATGACAAGTAAAAAGGGAGAGAGAGAGAGAGAGAAAAGAGAAAGAGAGAAAGAAAGAAAAATATCCCTTTATAAACTAAAATTAATCAATTCTCTTCGATATAAAATTATTGTAAATTATTATAAAAAATTTTTATTATTATAATTATTATAAAAATTTTAAAAATATAAAATTATTATAAAAATTTATAAAAAAAAAAAGTATTAAATACAATTTTTATTATCTCAATTGCTATGAATGATATTTCAAGTGCAATGTTAAATTAATTTCTCTTTTTTTTTCCACTTTGAAAAAATAATAAAAAGTGAAATTGTATAAAAATATTGAAAAGAAATTAAAATGAAATGAAATAAAAATGAAAAAATGGTATTTATTAATTAACCAATGAATGTGATATTTTCAGGAAAGTTTAAAAATTTGTCATCAAAGGAAGAAATATTAGAATTTAATTTTTAAAAGAGAATTTAATCTATGAAACAAAAATTTGATGAATAAAACGATGGCCAAAGAGAGAATTCAAAAATATTCTCTTTTATTTATCATTTTTAACACAAAACACATCCATTTTAAATATTATTGACAAAAAATAATTTTGCCATTTAACAATGAAAAAAAGAACAGAAAAATTTTCTCTTTTTTTAAGTTTTTTATTGACAATGGAAAAAGGAAATTTCACTATTTTTATGTTTTTTTTTTTTTTTTTAATTCTTCAAAAGATAAAAAAAAAAAGAAAAACACTTACATACATAAATAAGCATTTTTAGATAAGTCTTTAAGTAATTTAAAATTGAAAATGAAATTAGATAATTCTATAAATAATTTGAAAAGAAATTAATTTTTCTAACTAAGAAGGAAAAAAAATTAACAAATATGATAGTTTAAAAAAAAAAATGATTAATGTTAGATAATAGATAATTGATAAGAGATATCGTAGCAATCACAATTATTCTCGATTATTCATTTTTTTTTTTTGAAGAAAAGATTATTTGAAGTGATTTTTGATGGAATAATTTCGTTTTCGTACTTCAAAAATGTCAGCTAAAGTTATCAGAATTTAAATAATCATTAATCATTTGAAAATTATTAAATTTTTGATAAATGTAAGAAAGCCGAGCAATCCTGTCTTATAAATCAAATGAGAACAAAAAAAAAGAACGAAATTAAAAAAAAAAAAATATTGAAAAGCTAATAAATATTTCAATTTATAAAATTTCATTTTCTTTTTTTAAATTGCTCAAATTCAACTTATGAAAAATTTCGCTTTTTCAATTAATTCGTACATTTATAAATTTTTTATATTTATGCATAAATGAATTAATTTCTCGATAATCTGAGAAATTAGAAAGGACTTTATTGTGCGCAATTGTCAATTCAAATCAAGTGAAACAATCCATGAAGGAATTGCAAAAAGGAATGACAATTAGCGCATTTATTTTCTGATTTATAAAAAAAAAAAAAAAAAAAAGATGAAAAAGTATTGTCAAAAAAGTTACATTTAGATTATTTGAGTTAGAAAAATAAGTATGAATGGTAATTCAAAATTAAATTGCATATAAGCAATTTAAAAAAAAAAAAAAAAAAAACATTTGCAGAAAGTTTTTTTTTACTTGAAAAATTTTCAAATTACTTCAAAAATTACAGTTTTTTTTTTTGATGGATTTCATTTCAAAGCTCTGAATTTTTAGTTTTATTTTTTATCTAAACAAAAATTAAATACCATAGATCAAAATTTATAAAATGATCAACTTTGGACATCATCATTTTCTCTAGTTTAAATAAAAGTTTTTTTTTTAAATAAAAAAAGTTTTTTTTTTTACAAATTAGTTTAGATAAAACTTTGTAAAATTAAATTTGTAGAATTTTGGAAATATAAGTTTATAAATTGTTAATCTTTGTAAAATTTTAGAAATATAAGTTTATAAATTGCTAATCTCTTTAAAATTTTAGAAATATATTTGAACGAATGTGTCAGAGAGCTTTTACGATAACTTTTTATTTAATTTATAAATAACAAAATAACTTCTATGGTTATCAATATTAATTCAAAAATAAATGAAGAAAAACAGTCTGCGATAACATTTATTGAAAAGTTTAAAAATATTTTCGAACAAAAAAAAAAAAAGAAAAAAAACGAATGAAAAGATTTGTTGTATTTACAAGAAATTGATAAATCTGAAACAGTACAAAATGCATTTTCCGGAATAAAAACGAATTAAATTAGAATAAAGCTATTTTTGAATGAATACAAATGCATTTTCCGGAATAAAAACGAATTAAATTAGGATAAAACTACTCAACAAGTACAGTATTTTTACGCTTTCAAACATTTTGAAATTATTAAAATTTAATAGATCACAATTATAATTGTAGCAGATTTGACCAATCTAAACCAATAAGCCATCGTGCAAATTTTCGCCTACAGTCATCCGGATTTTCATCAATTCCGGCATACGGTTGACCATTAATGGTACCTTGAAAGGATTTAATTCCGGATTCAATACTTTCAATAAGTTCTATTATTGCTCCATCTAATGTAATCTGCACCGTTCGACCAACCATTCCTCTTTTCAGTAAACGCATTCGTCGATTACCGGAAGGAAACTGTAGATGATATATCTAAAAAGTAGGTAAGTAAGTATTGATTTGATTAAAATATTGCTATTCTTTAGATAAATAATTCAATGAATAAATAATACTTTCTTTTTAATTCTATTATTTTAATTTTTAATTCGTTGCAAATAACTTTTATTTTTTTTAAGTATTACAAAAAACAAAATTTGACACTTAGTATTTGTAATTTATTTTTGAAATTTAAAATTTATTATTCCTAATTTATTTTGTTGTAATATCTTCAAAATGTATTACTGATTAATCTTTAATTTATTATTTTATTTTATTTTAATTCATTTAAAATATCTTTTAGAAATATTTAAATAAAAGATCAAACATTATGTGATAATTCTTGCGTATTTCTTTCATTCAATTGTTGCTCGTTTTCGTTATTACTTTTGTTAAATTTACCATTTTCACAATTAACTGTGATATTTTCCAATGGTATTCTATTTGAATCACTGAAATATAAGAAATTGAAATTATAACTTTTTGATTTTAATATAATTTTTAAGTACTCAATTTTTTATTATCATATTGTACCATTGTCATTAACTGATAAATAACTGATAATTTATTTAAATATAAGAAATTGAAACTATAACTTTTTGATTTTATTGTAATTTTTAAATTTCTAATTTTTTTTACCATGTTGTATCATTGCCATTAACTGATAACTCATTTAAATATAAGAAATTGAAATTATAACTTTTTGATTTTAATATATTTTTAAGTACTCAATTTTTTATTATCATATTGCATCACTGTCATTAACTGATAAATAACTGATAACTCATTTAAATATAAGAAATTGAAATTATAACTTTTTGATTTTAATATAATTTTTAAATACTTAATTTTTTATTATCATATTGCATCACTGTCATTAACTGATAAATAACTGATAATTTATTTAAATATAAGAAATAGAACCTATAACCATAATTTTATTATAACTTTTAAATTTCTAATTTTTATTATCAAATTGTATTATTATTAACTGATAGGTGATTGATAATAGATTAATGATAATTACCAATGTGACAAATTCTTCTTCATATTTTGTCGTGTTTCGGTGATATTTTGCTTGGTAATATCGAAATTATCTTCATCTTAAAAAAAGAAAATCATTTTTTAAATTATATAACTTCCTATTTACATAATCAATTTCTTTCTTCCAAAGTAAACATCTCATCTCTCCCTCTCTCTCTCTCCCTCTCCCTCTCTTAGAAAAAAAAGATAACAGAGAGAGAGAGAGATAAAAGTAAAAATTGATACCATCAATTTTAACATTCATCCATGTTGTAAATGAAGTACCATCATTTTGAATAACAAGAATATTATTAATTTGTTTACGATGTAGCATATTTATATAAATGGATAAGCAGTCGCATGTCTCTGATAATTGCAAACTTTCGATTGCAAAATTTACCTGTAATTAAGAGTAGTATATAATGTTTTATTTTAATATAATGAAAGGAAAAAAAAAAATTAAATTGAAAAAAGTGATGAAGAATTAACCTTAATATCAAGTAATTTCTCTTGAGCTGTTTGACGAAGTTCATTTACATCACCAACTGCTAGAGATATCTGTAAATTAATTCATTAAAATTAGAATAATTTATATTTGAATAATTATTTTAATTAAAATAGAAAAATTAATTAATTAGGAGAAAAAAAAAATTAATACAAACCATTAAATTCATTAGCAGTATAACTGTGCTTATTTCAAATGCTAATAAAAGCAAATTTGGTATCCATTCCTTACGTTCTAACACATTGTCTGCATCCACTTCACCTTTAATTTTTGTTTCTTGTTTTTTTCAAATTTTAAATTAATTTAAATTAAATGAAATTCAAAAAGGATATCAATGATCATTTTAAATTTTATTGCTAATTTTTGCAAAAACTTAAGTTAATTTTTGTTTTGAAAAGAGAAACGAATAGAATAAGTAAAAGTAAAAAGTAAGTTAAGCTAACCAATCATCATAGCTGATGTTTTTGTGATAGCTTGTAATATCATTAGTAATTTTTGTGATACTGTTGAATTTGGTGAAAACTAAAAGTAATAGTTTTAACTTATCATTGCTCAACAATTTTTTTTGGTAATTTCTTCTTTATGCATTAACAATAAGAAAAAATTTATTTGATAAATTAATTAAAATTATTTTACTACTATGCAAAAGATTTTTGAATATTTAAAATTTTTTAAATTGTAATATTTTATTAATACTTTATTACCACTTCGGCAGCTTCCCAAGGTTCTTGGCCACTATTTCGCATAACTAAATGAAAAGCGAATGCAAATGCAAGAAGCGTTGGTATCCATATGATTGCAATCTATTATTTAATTAAATTATTATCAATCCTTATCATATTTTATCATTGTTATATTATCATTATCAACCAATATAATACACTAATAATAATAATAATAACAATAATAATTAAAATAATCTTTTCAATATATTTTGAATATAATTAAAAATTATTAAATATTGACAAAATAGCAATGATTTTGTAATAATTTTTTGCAAAAAAAAAAAAAAAAATTGAAATTTTGAAAATTGAGAAAAAAGATTTTTTTTATTTCATTTAAAATAAACTTTTCAAATGAAATTTTTTCATTCAAATTTATTTGTTTCATAGTTTTCTAATAATAATAATATATTTTACAAAAAAAAGAGAGAGAGAGAGAAAGATAGGAGAGAAAGTGGAAGAAAGAAAGAAAGAGAATTAATTAACATTTTTTTTTTTTTGTTTTTTGTTTTTTTTGCTTAATCTTTTCAAATCAAAAATTTGATTTCTAAGTTTGTTAATTCTTTTTCCTAAAAAAATATTTACAAAAATTTGTAGAAAAATAAATCATTACTTTATCTATCTTTAATTCTTCTCTCCTTTTATTTATTTATTTTTCTTATTTTTAATTGGATGATAATATTAGGATGCGCTCATTGTTCTAAAGAAAATAAGCGCAAAATGTTTAACGTTTAAATTTAAAATTTTAATACTTAAAATAATGAAAATCAAAGACAATAATTTTAAGAATGTAAAATGAAGAAAAAAAAAAAAACTTTTAATATAAGAATATATTAAAATATATTACTGTTGAAATTATAAATATATTTATGCGAAAAATTATACCAAAAAAAAAAAAAAAAAATGAAATTTATCAAAAAATTAATTTAAAAAAGAAAAAACCTGAGAGAATGAATAGAGAATACGCGTAAGCATAAGAATGTAAATACCGTACGGTGATTTTCTGAGAATGTACAAGAAATTAATCCATGCCGAAATGATAGCGATAATTGGTAATAACCAGGTGATAAAATGCTATAAAAGAATAAACATAATTCTATAATTAATTAAATAAGTCCTTTCTATAATTTGGTAAATAAGTAAAGAATTATTATTATCATTTTTAAACTTTAATTCACTTTTTTTGCTTAGCTTCTCAGATTTGTTTTGTTTTTTTTGTTTTTTTTTTTCGGAATTAAATAGTTATATCAATATGTATTGTTATCAGTCATCAAAAACGACTGATAATAGTTTATTTTCTGGAAATATTTAAAAGTATTTTCTTAAATTTATATTTATTACAATTCTATTTCTATGTTTTATTATTTTTTGTTTTCAGTTTTTGTACTTATTTTATGAAATTTAGTTAAATATTATTGATAATTTTTGAATATATGAAATTGTTTACTGATTGTAACTATTATTGTTGTTATAACCAAATAAAAACCTTTTCTTTTTATACAAACAATAAACAAAATTAATTTATTTTATCATATTTAAATTGATAATAATTTGTTGTTCTAATTTTCAACAAGAAAAAATTGATTTCTTTTATGATTAATTTACCATAAAATTGTCTGTTGTTATATTTAAAAATTTTGAATTTAATTTAAAAAAACAATAAAAAAATATGCATTTTTAAAGTTTCCAAAAAAAAAAAAAAAAGAAAAGAAATAACCTTTAAATCAGAATTGTAATCATTGTAGGAAAATAGCAATGGTGTCCAGATAAATAAGAAAGTAGCAATATAGGTTATCACATTGAATGAATATGATAAGATAAACCATTTACTAATTTTACCTGTTTGCAGTTTTACAGCACATTTCACTACCTGTAAAATAATTAATTAAATGATAAAAAGGGAAATTTTTTTTTAGGTAATAATTTTATCAAAAAATATTTCTTTGATAAAATCAGTATAAAATCTATGCATAATTATCATTAATGATTATATTATATTTCCCTTTGATATTATAGCTAAATTTATTTTAAATTTTAAATTTATAAATTATATTTCATTGAAATAGAATTCAAAAAAAAAAAAAAAATGAAAATATATAAGAAATTAGAAAGTTTTGTTATTTTTATTTTACAATTACAATAAATAAAAACAATTACAATACAATCACAATAAATAAAATTTAGACTAAATTTGAAATATATTTTTAAAATAATTAAGATTGCATCTTTTGAATATGTTTATAATTTAAAAATTTTAATATTTACTATTAATGTAAAATTAGACAAAATTCCAAAAAAAAAAAAAAAAAAAATTGTAAAAACGAACCAAACAAAATCCAAAAACAATAAGAAATAACGTTGACAGAAAATCTTGCATATTATTTTTACCAAAAATATAACTTGAAAGTAAAAGTAGAAAAATCAAATATGAAATAATATGTGCAACGTAGAGATAAGCTTGTGATAAAAGTATTTCATTGATAAAATTGAGTACCATTGGATGACGAATAATATTCCATCGATGATTATCTCTCTGAAATTCTTTTAATTCATATTTATTTTTCACAAAGTATTAATTTTAAAATTAATTTTCATATTTACCACAAAAAAAAAAAAAGAAAAAAGAAAAAAAAAACACATTTATTTGAAATTTTATATTTACCATAAACTATTAATTTTAAAATTAATTTCAAATTTATTAGCTTAAGGAAAAAAAATTTTTTTGTAACTAATTAATTGTATTATTTATTGAAAATATATACATGCATTTGCTGTTCTATCTATCATTTATTTCAATTAATTGCTTAATTAATTAATTAATTACCAAATGTTTCAATTCTCGCCAACTTATCACTTCTTCTCCTTCCTCTGAACTATCTAAAATAAATTATTATACATTTTAGGTAATTTATTAGTAAATAATTCGGAGTAGCAAAATTTCAATTTTAATAAATAATAATTATAATTAAAACAATTTATATATCATTATGATAACAATTTAAACTTAAGCAAATATTCTTGCTAAACTTTAAATAATTTTTAAATGTTTCGCTTCAATTCGACAACAATTTGTTAATTTAATTTTTCTTTTTTTTAAAATATTTGAAAATGAAATTTGAATTTATTAGATTAAGAGAAAAAAAAGCTGAACTGAGATCATTTGCATTATTTATTAAAAAAATGATGAAAGTTATCTTTAAAAATTAATTTATCATTCTTTAGTAGTATTTCTTATCATAGTGCAATGATACACATATAAATGCATCAGATAGTATTGTAGAATAAATTTGCAATTATTAAATTTAAATTTACCGTATCGAAAGAAGTAAACAATTCGATCATCAGATTGTATCCGTCGTGTACGACTATTATAGAATTCTCTACTACAACTATAAAATGCATAATATTAACATTTATTTTCTCCTAAATATAATCATATTTAAATAAATGCTTCTCTATTTATAAAAAAAAAATTAAAAATTGAATTTATTAGAAATTTACACTTTTTTACAAATCAATTTTAACTTTTACATTTTAATTTCGAACCTAAGCATTAGTTTTATTTCTAATAATCTAACATTTAAAAAAGAAATCTAGCTTTTACAATTGATAATTTTATCAGTTCAATTATTAGTTCTGTTTACATTTCAGAAAAAAAGATCTATCATTATGATAAATACTAATATTACAATAAATAATTATAAACATTAAATTTATTGATTTTTTTTAAAATATATTAAAATATATTGAAATTTTTTAAAATTAAGTAATTGCATATATTAAAATTTTTTAATATTACAATGAATAATTATAATCATTAGATATTAATATATTAATTTAATTAATTGCATTTATTATTTACTGATAATTCTTGTTAAAAGCAATTATTTTGTAATTATTTCAGTTTCAAATTAAGTAAAATAATGGTAATTTTACATTTCAAATTTCTACAGTATCACTCATAAGCTCATCAACTATTATTATCACAGAGAAGTACGGTAATCATATTACTATGACAAAATTTTTTTTTATTTTTTTTACGATTGTATTATAAACTTTTTTTTTTTCAAATATTCATTTTAATTATATGTTAACTAGAAATTTAAAAAAGTTTATAATTTTATGCTAATTTGAAACGATCAAATTAGATAATAAAAAATTTTAAATTGTTTAATCATTTCGTATTCCGTTTTTGCTTATTCCGAAAAATGTGCTTAAAAACGAACGGATTTAGCATTTCGTCATTATTCTCCATTAATCTTGTAAGTTCGGGAATTTTTACCGCTGATTGTTTTGTAAAATTCATAGAAATTAAGCTTATCAAACACTTCGATAGCAGCTTGCTTCGTTATTCATCGTCATTCTCGAGTCTTAAATTAAACTTTTGTTATAGCAATTCTCGAGTATAATCATAATATTGCAATAATGCGATTAGTGTGATATTAATAAGTGAAAATTTCTTGATAATAAATTTATTAATTTCAAAAGTGTTAGAAGAACAGATGATATGATACAAACTAAATAACTAATAGCAAATGTTTTGATTGTAAAATTGATTTGTGTAATTTATGTAAACGTTTGTTTACGTTTGTTTACGTGAAATACGTATAAACCAACTAATCAATATTCAATAATAAATAATTGATAAATACAAATAATTAAATCAATTAAATAAGAGCAATGGTTAATGATTATCAATAAAATTAAAAAAAAAAAAAAATGAGAAAATTGTCGATCGATGTGTTTTGATAGTCGTTGAATTGAAATAAAAAAAGAGAGAAGGAAGAAGAGGAAAAGAATAGAGGAATTGAGGAAGAGAGAAAGGATTGATTATCTGATTAGAACAAATTGATAAAAGAAGCTGAAAGAGATACTTTAAACTATTATTTATAAGTGATAGACAATATTTTAGTATCGAATTTAATCTTAAAATTTTACAATTATTTATTATTTAGTATGATTTTTTTTTTTTCATTTCTCTTGGAATAAATAAACAATTTGATAGAATAGTTTAATCATAAAATCTATTTTTGTTTTAAAATTAATATTAATAATAATAAAAAAAAAAAACGAATGCTTTATGTTAAGTTATTATATAAACTTTGAATTTTGTTTTAATTTAATGATTAAAATCAAATATAACGGAAGCAAAAAATAAAAATTCAGATAAAATTGAATTTTTTTTTTTTTACATTTTTTGAAAAAAAAAGATGCTATTTTAGATTGTTTTCATTAGGTATTATAAAGTAATTGTAAATATAATTTTTTGTAAATTATTTAAATGTTTTAGAATATTGCAATTAACTGAAACATACTTACTTATCATATGAAACGTATTTACTTATCACTTATCATACTGATATTACTTTTGATTACTGCCGAACTGTCATCCGAATTGTCATTAACAAAATTTGCTGATTGTCAAATAGAGTTAAAAAAGAAAAGCTATTCAATAATAAACTGAATTACATGAATAGTACAACACACACACACAGAGAGAGAGAGGGAGAGATCTTTAGCTACGACTAAATCGAGAGTGCTTATCATATCAGATAGCGTTATCACAGTGCCAAACACCGTTATATCACATTTGAAAATAATGTAAGAGCGTTTGAAATCATTTGACAATGAAAATAAATTGTTATTATTAGCCTTATTTGTTTATTTATTATGTTTTCATTATATTGGAAATATTAACATTATCGATTTGAATGGGTGAAATTAAAAAAGCAAATTTAGATGACAAACAGTTTTATATGTCAGTTAGTCAACAATAAATTCAATAAACAGAAATATTGTTTACTCACTAAAAGAGAGTGACAATTTTGTTTTTTTGTTTTGGAATAGTTGAATAATGAAAGCTAATATAGGAATGATTTGCTGATTGATTAGCAAAGATTAGATGATGAAAAGGATGAGGACAGTGACATGACAAATTTTAAATGTAAAATTTGTGAATTGATGTTAGGATGGTGATAATTGTGTAAGATGATAAAAAGTTTTGTTAACAAATTGTGTCGCTTAATTTAACGTTTTTAACTTCCGTTTGACGTTTCTGTTAACGGAAACTTAGTATCATTTGGATTATCTGAAAATTGTTTATAAATAATGGATGGATTTCCTGTTATGCTTCTTTTTTTTTTTATCAGTTCATATTAATATAAGAATTTAGTAAGGGAAATATTGGAAAAATTATGATATGGTAGGTTATCGTTTACTTATTTAGCATGTTATCAGTGTTATCAATGTTATCAGTGTAATACTTTATTGGTTATTCTCTTAGAACTGATCAATATACTTTAGTATGATAATTTCATAATATTTATTTTTATATTTTCAATGCTTCTATCTAAAAGTGAATAATAATAAGAAATAATAAAATTTGAATGTTAATAAAATTTCTTTATTGATTTTCATTTGATGAGAAAATGGAAAAATTTGAAAATTTTTTGTAAGCAAAATATGAAAGAATATTTTTTTCTCGTTTTTTTTTTTCCAATTTTTTAATTATTTCATTTTTTTTTTTTTTTTTTTTTGTAGTGCTAAAATAGTTGCTAATTAAGGATTTTATTAGAGTATAAATTAGCAATAATTATTGAATAATTCAACTTTTTTTTTTCTTTTGCTTTCCTTTTATTGAAGAATAAAAAATGTTGAAAATGAATAAATAAAATAAACTAAAATAATTGTTGGGAATAAAATTTTGTTAAGAATTAATGAGAGAGAGAAGGAAAGAGGGAAAAAGCAATGAAAGGATTAAACTATTTTTTCTCTTCGTTCAACGCTCAACAATATCTGAAGGAAATTCATCAATAGATGAATGATCGACAATGAATGTATCATCATTAAACGATCACATCAATTCATTCATTTCATTTTAGTAATCCTAAAATGAAGAAATAATTATTTCAATAATTATTTAAATTAGAATAAAATTAAATCGTTAATTGTTAATCATTAATTCATTTTTATTTCTTAATATCATTTCAAAATACTTTATATTATCGTTTATAGAATATATATCACAGATATATGAAATATTAATTAAAAAAATTAATGACAAAATTATCCTTTGAATTGTTGTAATTTCTAATACTATACTAAGTGATATATCAATTAATTCTGATATATTTCAAAGAAAGTTTAGTCAATAATTTAAATTCTGTTTTATGTTATTTATTAATAAATTGCATTAGAATTAAAATTAAAATTCATATTTGGAATAATAAATGTTACAAAAAATATTTCTATCTTAAAATTTTGTCTTTATAAATAATTATCTTATTCAAACATTCAAATTGAAATAGAAAATTATTTTTATTTCTAATTTAAAAAAAAAAAAATGCCTTGATGGTTTGTTTTTTTGAATGAAATGAAAATAAAATTTACGGTGCCATAAGAGAATGCATGTAAAAAAAAATGAATTTCAATGTATTTAAGGCAATTTCAAAGTTTTCAAAAAATAAATTTCAAAATTGGAAATATTTTTTACCTTAAAAAAAATATAACAAAATTAGATAATAAAGGAATAATATTTTAGAGCAAATTTTAATTTTAAACAATGAAAATAAGAAAAGATATTACTAAGTGGTAATTAATTTAATAAATAATAATTAATTGATAAACATTTCCATTGTTAATGATAAGAATAGATGATAAAAATGATGAAAATATATGAGAAAAATTTTTATTTGAAATTAAAATGAATCAAAAAGTTCCCCTTAAAAAGGACAAAATGAAAAAAAGAAAAAATTATAAATTGGAAATGCTACCGTATCACATTTATCGATTAAAATATGATGTTGTCTTCATTTGGCCTTGGCTATTTAAATTATAGACAGGAAAAGGGAAATAAAAGCAAATGAAGCAGCATTTCGTATAGGATTTTGTTAATTCTCTTATTGATAGAAAGAGAGAGGGAGAGAGAGAGGGAGAGGGAGGGAAAGAAAAAAAGTAAAGAAGGTATATTAAAATATTTCTGTTAAGTTTAAATTGATTTTTTTTTTTTTGTTTCGTTGAATTAATTTCAAATTATTTTAACAGAATGATCGTGAAAATACAATAAAAACAACAACAATTGCTAATATCCATGTTGTTGTCAATATTAGAAGGAAAAATGATACAATCGAAATTATCAGAAATTGAATTTATAAATTTTTCATTTCAATAAAAAATGAAAAATTAGTAGAGCTATTTTTTTTTTTTTCATTTATAACATTTATTATCCTAAAATTTTAATACTTAGCTATTTTGTTTTTGTTGTTCTTTTAATATTTTTTTTTTTTTTGGTTTAATATTATAGAAATATGAAAATTTTCTTCAAACAATAATTTATTAAAATTATTGAATGGTATTGTTTTACTTTACTAGGAAATATTTCAATTGTTTATCTTATTAATCTTCTTCAAATTGCTTAAATATTGAAGTAATATTGTCTATTTTACTATTAATACAAAGTTATTAGCATACATAAATTACTTTTACTTATGCATAAAATTTATTTATTTGAAAATGAACTCTTTATTTTGAAGAAATTTAATTTGAAAAAAAAAAAAAAAAACTCTCAAAATTTAATCAAAAAATTATTTCAATTTAATTTAAATGAAGTAAACTTCTATATTATAGGTATGAAAGAAGAGATTTAAATATGAAATAAAAAAAAATTATAGGTATGAAAGAAGAGATTTAAATATGAAATAAAAAAAAACTCTCAAAATTTAATCAAAAAATTGTTTCAATTTAATTTAAATGAAGTAAACTTCTATATTATAGGTATGAAAGAAGAGATTTAAATATGAAATAAAAAAAGTTTGTGAAAATATTGCTAACATCTGGTTGAAAATCTCTTTCACTGTAATATTTTATGGATCATTTCGAGAGATATGAAAAAAAAAAAGAGAGAAAATGTGCAGCTGTTGGTGCATTTTGATAAATCATCCCTTATTTACTGCTTTAATAAAACAATAATAGCAATAACAATAACAACAATAATAACAATAATAGCAATAATAGCAATAACAATAACAAATACTTTTCCTATTAATCCATCAGTAAAATTTCACCAAATTTATTTACTAATAAAAAATATAAAGTAGTAAAAAAAAAAAAAAAAAAAAAAAAAAAAAAAAAAAAACATTAAATAATTTAGTTAACATTAATAATTTTGCTCAAAAAAAAAAAAAAAATTAGTGGAAATTTTTATTGATAAGTGTTAGTGATATAAAATTTCAAAATCTTTCATCTCATATCATTTTTTATCTTTAAAGATATAATTATTCCTATTTTCTTCAATTAAAAAAAAAAAAA